GGTATAGCTTAACTTTAGTTAACAAGTGTCTACAGGAGACATGTTTTCTGTGTGTGTGTGGAGGTAAGTGGATTGGTGGGAGTGTGCATGGAGGGTTAGAAAGGCAGAGAGAAAGAGAAAAAAGTTAAAAAGATAGAAAAAGACAACTATAAAATTAGAAGGCTTAGATAAGAAGGCATCTAAAACTGAGGTTTTTAAATTGTTTTTCTACTATACCATGAATGAGATGACATTTCCACATGCCATCCTTGCCCTGACTCATCTCTATAAGGAGACCCAGGATTATCTCTAATTCTGGCTTCCAGCATTAATTTACCCACTTAACAAAATATAAGAGTACAACCTCTATGGACAGCAATTTTGCAATAGTTACTGAAATATAAAACATGCACATATTTTGACCTAACAATTACACTTTAAGGAATTCATTTTACAGTTATGCTTGCATCTATGTGTATTGATACATGTTTAAGAATATTGTGGCTGTAAAATATTACAAGTAACAAAAATGTTTACCAATGTATCTATATTATATAACAAAGATGCCCATTCAACATAGTTACACAAGGGAATACTATGCAATTGTTAAAGAAGAATATGGCAGCTCTATGCAGCCTCTTATAGAATAACCTCTAAGGTCTATTCTTAGGCAGCAATCCTTGGAGGTACCTTTGTTTTCTTTCTTTTTCTCACCTCCCACATCCATTACGTCAGTAAATCCTATTGGCCCTAGCTTCAAAATATATCCAGTACCTGACCACTTCTCACCTCTTTCACTGTTATCACTCCACTCTACTGCAGATGCTTCCTGACTGGTCGCCATCCCTGTCTCTCATGCCTGTTCTTATCACGGCAGCCAGAGCGATCCTGTTAAAAAATGTAAATCAGATCATATTACTCCTCTACTCAAATCCTCCCAACATTTCTCAGCCGGAGTAAAAGCTGATGTCAGGTTTTACAATCATGATTTGCTTCCTCCCTCCCTCCTCCAGTCCTCCCCTGGCACTCCCACACTTTACACCTCTGACCTCATCTCCCTCTCCTCTCTTCCTGTCTCACTCTAGTCCAGACACACTGCGCTTGCTCTTCCTGTAGGGGAGGGAAAAGTTTCCTTGATCCTTTTGAGATTCCTGGCTGGGTCTGAAATTTAAACTGACAGATTAACAGAAGAAAAGCATACACGTTTATTTAATATAATTTTGATGTGACTAGGGAGCCTTCATACGGAAATGAAAACCTGTAGAAATGGTTAGCCCCACATTTTTTTTTTTTTTTGCGGTACGCGGGCCTCTCACTGTTGTGGCCTCTCGCGCTGCGGAGCACAGGCTCCGGACGCGCAGGCTCAGCGGCCATGGCTCACGGGCCCAGCCACTGCGCGGCATGTGGGATCTTCCCGGACCGGGGCTCGAACCCGCGTCCCCTGCGTCGGCAGGCGCACTCTCAACCACTGAGCCACCAGGGAAGCCAAAACCCACACACTTTTATGCTAGGTTTGATGAAGAGTGGACAGTCTAGGAGAAATCCGACAGGTCAAAGGGTATGAGGGAAATGTCGAAAACTGGGAGGAACTCAGGAAGACCTGTTTGTTCGGCCCCTTCTTGGCATCCCTGGCTTCAGAGGTAAGGATGTTCCTTTCCTCCAGGTACAGTATAGGGAGAGCGCTTCTCAAATGAGGGTTTATAACCTGTTTCAAGGGAGAAGGGCAGGGAGAAGTTCACTCTGACCTTCTTGTTTCTGCTGTTTCCTTCTTGTTTTCTGCTGACCTTCTCGTTTCCGCCTTCAGCTTAAAATATTCAATATGCCAAGATGTCGTATTTTGGAGTATCGTTCCCTGAACCGCATGGTTCCTCTAACGCACTGGCACATGATCCCTCTTCCTGGAGCAAATACACACATGGCTGCCTCTCTTCCCTTCATCTCTCTTCTTAAGTACCGTCTTCTCTGTGAGGTCTTCCCTGACAACCGTATTTAAATTCTAGCCCTATACCCAAATTCCCCCAACCCTTTTCCATTTAAAAATTTTCCTCTATTGCACTTGCCATCATTAACATTCCATAGATTTTAGATTTTATTTGTTTACTGTTCTTCTCCCCCACTAGAATGCAAGCTCCATGAAGGCAAGAATTCTTGCCTGTTTTGTCGACTGATGGACATGCATGAGAGAAAAAAGTGACTGTGTTGTAGTAGGTCCTCAAACTATTTTTTGTTGAATACTTGATATATGGAGGACTTAGATGTAGGGTATAAACTACAGAAAAGAGTTAAGGATGATTCCAACATGTCTTCGTCTTGACATCTGGGATTGCCATTTTCTAAGCTGAGGAAGTCTGAGGGAAGAACAGGTTTGCTGCAATTGTTGGTGGTCTGCCATCTATGTCTCGAGAATGCAGTCAGGAAGGAAAACTCAGGCAGGGAGCTTGGATGGGGAGATCTGTTCTCCCTGACTTTGCCAACTCTGACAGTTTCTTTACTCGGATTTATAGTTGTCAGAAAGATGATTCGAAAATTAGAAATAGAGGGAAGAGGTTCCTAGGTGTTCTTTCAGTTTAGTGCTGGGCTTGGGCCTTGCATTGATTTCCTATTGACTGAGTTATTTTACAACCCTGAAGAGGCAGAGGTTAACTCAAACCTGCAAATAGTTCCTGTCCAGTAGTGGAAAAGATATCCTTATTAAGGTTATGGTTCATGGTCGAATATGACATTAACCAATTTTCTATTCAACTCAGCAGTCTTCTCTAACATACCTTTATTAAATTGCCTCTAAACATCCAGCTTCTCGAATGCACTTTTAACTGATTTTAGTACCTCACCGGTTCTTTCATTAATTAACAAGTTACATGAAATCTTTGACACATGTTCATTTTATTTTTGTATGAGAGTTATGATTCTACCTTTTTGAAAATTACACTTGAATGGCGTTTTCACAGAACTGAAAAGCTGCCACTCAAAATGATTCCTGAGCACTTTCTCCTTGATTAGCCCAAGCATGTGATACAATAACTTCTCCAGTTGTTAGCAAACAAAGGAGTAAAGAAGTTGGCAGCTGGCTGGACTTTCGGCAGCAGAAAAGGTGTAAGATTAGTTTCTGTTTTTTGAAATACCGGTTAGCTTCTGTGTTCACTTTCTATTGCTGCTGTAACAATGTGCCACAAGCTTAGTGGTTGAAAACAACACAAATTTATTATCTTACAGTTCTGTAGATCAGAAGTCTGACGTGCATCTCACTGGGTGAAAACCAAGGTGCTATCAGGAGGCTTTTGCGGATGCGCTAGTGAAGAATCCATTTCCTTGTTTGTTCGTTTGTTTCCAGCTTCTAGAGGCTTCCTGCATTGCTCAGCATATGGTCCCCTTTTACCTTCAAAGCCAGCAATGGCAGGATGCGTCCTTCTCCCATCACATCTCTCAACCTGTCTTCTGCCTCTCCATTAACACTTTAAAGGGCTCTTATAATTACATTGGGCTCATCCAGATAATCTTGGATAATCTTCCTATGTTAAGGTCAGGTGATTAGCAACTGTCAACCAATAAAATAATGTAGGAGGCTGCAAATAAAAGTTTATTTGGGATCTTAAGAATTGCAATTCAGGAGACACAGGTTATTCTGGTAGTCCCGAAAGGATGTTCCAAGGAAGAGAAAGAGTCAGGGTTTTTTAAAGACAAAAAGTCATGAGATTGTTAAAAGTTGCCTGGTGAGAATTGTGATTGGCTCTGATGCAAGTCAGAAAATCACTGTCCTTTAGGAATCATGAGTTGTTTTAGGGTGAGGGTCCCATAAGTATCTTGAGTTTCTAGCAGGTGTTTTGGATGACCTCATCAGGTCAAAAGGTCAAATTCCATCCAGGAGGAGATGTGCATAAGTCACACTTCTTTAATGACCTCCCAGTTCCATTTTAGAGAGCTCTCTTAGCAATAGCAACCCCATTTTGATTTTCCTTTCACACAGCATTATACCATCTGCAGCTTTAATTCCCCTTTGTCATACCATAACACAGTCATAGGCTTCATGGACGAGGACATCTTTTGGGGCCATTACCTGCTTATCATAGTTTATAAGCCGATAAAGGAGAAAACAGAGAATTTAGGAAAGTGATATATACGTCTCTCTTCTTTATTTTTTGCTTCGACATCTCCCCAGTATCTATGTAGACTGATCGCCAGTTATTTCCCTTGTTACCAAAGGCAGGTGGGCCTTCCATTAAGGGTATTTATGATGGCAAATGCCAAACATCTTTGTTCAAATGTTTATGTGTGTGCTAAGCATTTTAAATAGATCTTTTGCACTATTCTATTTTTCACACTGAAAGACGTGATGTAGTTGAGCTTTGGAGTCAGACAGACCTGAATTTAAATTCTGACTCAATTACTTACAACTCCCATGAACTTTGAGCAATTTACCTGAACTTCCTAGCTTCAAATTAAGGATAAACTGTAAATTAAGGATTAACAATAGCTACCAGAAAAGGTTATGGAGAGGGCAGGAGTAGTTCCATCTTGGGCCTAGAAATTTATTTCAAAAGATTTATTTAGTATAATTCTGATGTGAAACGGGAGACTTCATAAAGAGATGAAGACTCAAAGAAACAGACCGGTATATTTTTAGGCTGGGTTTGATGAAGCTGCGACAGGCATGGAGGGATAACTAGGTTAAAGAGTACGAGGTGATTGTAGCGACTGGGCGAAATTTAGCAAGGCCTGTCTGTGAGGATTCTTCTTTGTGTCCTTTTGTCTTCAGAGATAAGGATTCTCCTTCCCTCCCAGGGCACCTCTCACATGAGGGTTTTATGATCTGTTTTAAGGAAGAAGAGAGAGGAAAGAAGGAGATCAGACTGACTTTCCTGCTTCTGTCATTTTCTCAAATTCCTTCAGCTTAAGATACTCAATATGCCAAGATGCTATATTTTGGGGGTAGTGTGTCCTGAACACCACTATGGGTATTAGTGATGAGAAGTGAGAGGAATTCTTTTTCTTTTCTGCTTAACAACAAACGTTTATTTCTCAAGGTTCTGAAGGCTGGAAGTCCAAGATCAAGATGCCGACATACTCAGTGTCTGGTAAGACCCATCTTCCTGGTTCCTAAGACAGTGTCTTCTCACTGTGTGAGAGGTATTCTTATATCTTTTAATTCCACATATTTTTTTTCAGTTCAGAGAAGGGCAAGCACCTAGAAAATTAATTCAGTTAATCAGTATTTATTGGATATCTTCTATTTGCCAGGGATTATGAAATGCCCCTCTTCTATATTCATCTTTTAGCCTTCAATTTTTTCCACTTAAAATTGAGGGGCTTGCATAATTTTAAGGGTTTTTTTTGCTTTAAAAATATTAGCATCTGTGAATTTTCTTAATCTTCATTTTCTCCCAACTAGACCTAGAAGTGGCATACAGAATTGTGGTGGGATAGGGGTGGGATGTGTATGGAGGTTCACATCCACAATTGGTTAAAGTAAAGTTTGATTTTTTTCCCCTACTTCCTCCCATCCACATTTGCATAAAAATGAGATCACACATGCTTACTTACTTGGTTATTTGTAAATACATGACAGTAACACCTCTCTTCCTTCACAATTCATTGCACATTGCTGGGCTTAGAAGAGAAGCTTGAAGAATGCTTATTCAATGTTCAGTTGATGTGCAAAATTATATTACTTTCTATTTGTTTTATTTGCTGCCAAACAGTTGATTTCCTTCAAGTCCTGATCTTTCTTTATTCAGAAAAGTTTGCAGGGGGAGGGCTTCCATTTCTACACACCAGATAGAATGCATTTCCTTTTCACCTATTTAGGCTAATGGCTTTGCAGTGTTATGCAGAGTAAAGAAATTATTTGGCTTCTATTCAGAAGACAATTTGGTTTGAAAAAGAAAAGGCTAATTCCAGCATAATCATTAAATGAAAATGAGAAAGGTTAGCACAAATAAAAAAAAAAAAGAAAGAAAGAAAGAAAGGTCAGTTGAAGATTTTCTAGGAATCACAAATTGTTCTGCTCTATTTAGGTCTAGATAAGGTTTTCAGTATTTCCCAAGCTGATAGAGTCTTTGACAAGGATTTCCTTCTGGGTGGAGGTTTTCCTAATACTTCACTTTGCTGTTAATAAATTTCTTTTTTAAGCTGAATTTGTCTTTGGAAAATTGGTTAGACTTATGACCCTGGAAGTCTGGTCTGCCTTGGAGGGAGAAATGAACTTGAAAAGAATTACTGTGAAGTGAGGGATACAAGCCTTTAACATAGAAAATTAAAATAATGGCCCATAATCAATACAGCATGCTTTGAGACAGAGTATTTGTAGACTAGATTTATATCAGAAATTCAACAAAATTACACATCATCACTACCTTATCCCCTAACATCATCTAAATGTATAACTTTTAGTAGATGTAGGGGTCCATGACCCAGGGGGGGAAAAAAATCTTTAGAGACGGAATGAAATTATATGCAATAGTAGTGATTCTGTTCCACTTCTAATGGGGGCTGAAATGGCCATGTACCCTCCAGGTACGAAATCCCATAGGCTATTGGAAAGATGAGTGCATACCCTCTGGCATCTGGATTCCTTCTCCTTGGGATATGTTTAAACACTTCTTTAAATACTTCACAGTGATAATTCTCCCATAGAAACATGAATAATGTTCCTTGACCTGAATGTCATATAATCTAAAAATTGTCTATAGATAGAACTTTTTCACTGGTGCCAGGAAGTCAGCTTAGGCTCACTATATCCATTCTAAGCTTACGAAAGAGAGCTTTAAACTTCTTTGGCATGCCAAAAATCTAGGTTTGAATTAAATGACTAATGCTTTACCTAGTTTTTACCATGACTTCTCTCTGCCAGAATCTTTTCAATTCATCCTCAGCCAAAGCTGTCATCCATCCTGGCAACGTACCTTTTCACCTCCCCACACCTCATGTCTTTGCTTTTCCAGTCCTTTGGCTGCCCTCCTGTTTCTTCCTTCACATACCTGTCTGACTGGTTCCTAGAAGCTTGGCTGAGATTTTTCTCTGCCATAAATCTGGCTACCACAAATTAAGGGCCCGGTGCCCAAACACACCTCTCTCAATGAAAATCTAAATAGATCTAATATATAAACAAAGAGAATACTTCTATTTTCTTTCTAAAAATAAATCATGCCTTGGCTTTTAAAGGAGAGAATGAAGAGCAGGTTGACAGAGAAAATAACTGGTTAGAACAGAAGTTAGGAAAAGACTTGAGGTAAGAATAGTTACTCAACCACGATAATATCAGAAAAAGCAACAACCTTATTTATCCACAAGGCAGTCCCTCGCCCCATCCGTAAAGGCTAATGAGGGCAGTTATCTTTTTTCTGTGCACTGATGTAATCTAAGCCTTCAGAACCGAGGCTGCACATAGTAGGTGCTCTAGAAATATTTGCCGAATGTTCAAAGACTAAGAGAATTAAAAACTGATAAAAAATGACAAAGGCCACAGCTTCACCAAATGTTTAGCCTTCCCAAACACAGCCCCATTGTTCTATTCTCTTTATACCCCTAGCCTTCTCACTTGTTTCTGTCGTTCTCTTTTACATACATATTTAAATCTAAGAACACACACACACACCCACACACCCAAATCCCTGAAATAACAGACTGAAATGTGTTATTCAAAGCAAGTTATATTGGGCTGTTGCTTTTAAAGGAATGTCAACTCCTAACGGGTTTACTGTTTCTGTACAGCTTTCCCGCCTTCTCCGAGTGGAGGTGAGGGATGAGGAATGAAACAATCAACATTCTCTCTCCTTTTCCTCAATCTTTTTCTGTCCTTTTCTCTCCTTTCCTCGGCTTTATTTCCTTTTCCCGTCTGCCGTTTCTCTAGGGTTGTTGCTTGGTTTTCTCCCGCTCAGCCTGTTGGTCTCTTTGATCCTTTCTTTCTATCCCTTATTCCCAGAAGCTCCAGAAAAATACCTTCTTTTTTCCCCTTTTCCACGTCACTTCCCTCCCTTCTCCCATCTCCCTCTCCCTCTCTGTGAGAGGTGAGTTCCCCGCTAGAGGCCAGCACTTTCTCCGTTTCGTCCCTCCCACCGGCGAGCAGAACTCGGAGAGAAAGAAGGGGAAAAAAGAGGAGAAAGAGCGAGAGAGGGGAAAAAACACACAAAAAACCCCGGGGCCTAAGCGCGGAGGCCTGGCAGCAGCGTCGTCATGGCAACGGGCGCCGGCAGGAAACGAGGGACTCGCGGGAGGGAGGGGGGAGGGCGCCGAGGGGAGGGGGAGGGACGGGGGAGGGGTCCGGCTGCCCCGGAAGCACCTCCCCGCCAGCCCCCTCCTCCAGCCCGGCCCGCAGCCCCCGGCCTGCAGCCCCCACCCTCTCGGCCCGGCAGGAAGTGACAGGCCCCGAGCGAGCCCCGAAGGCCTGGCGGAGCCGCGGCCGGCCCGCACCCGGAGCGGCGGGAGGGGCGGGGAGCCGCGGCCGCGCCGGGCGCCTCCCACCCCGCTCTCGGCGCCCCCGCCCCTCCAGGAAGGGGAGGAGGCGAGGGGAGCCCGCCGCGGAGGCCGAGCGAGCCCCCCGCCCAGCCCGGCGCCGGGGGACCCCGGCACGTGAGGTGGACGCCCCCCCGAGAGCGCTCGGGTGCAGAGCCAGGCGTGGAGGTAAGCGGGCGGCCGCGGGCCGGGCAGGGGCAGGACCTCCGGGGGCTTGGCTGCGCGGGGATGTTTCTTCCGCCACCTCGGGCTGTGGAACGCCCCAGGTACCTCCCCCGGCGTCTTTCCCTGCCTACCTCTGGCGCTCGCTCTGCGGTCCTTCCCTCTGCCTGTCCAGCCTCCCGCTCTTCTGTTCATTTCGCTGTGCTCACTGCTGTCCGTCCGTCACCCTAGTTGCTTCTGACCGCTCATTCTCTCATTCATTTTCCCGTCTCTGACTTTGGCTTTCCCATCCAAGCATGCTGTCTAGTTATCTCCCTGCTTTTTCTGGTCCGCTGGGTTCCTCAGCTTCCAGTTCCTCGACTTCTGTCTGTCTCCCCGCTCTCAGTAAGCACATTTCTCCGCTCACTTGGGTCGGTTCACTGCTGGCACCGCTCAGTCGACCCCCGTCCCGCGGTGTGATTGATCCCTCTTGCGAACGTCGTTCTCATCCAGGTTCTAGGTACAACAAGGACCCCTGGGGCGTCTCCTCTCCCTCTTCACATGGCTTCCATTTCTTTGGCACAGCCTTCCCCGAACCACCCCCCTCCTCCCGCCCCCCTTGCTATGCCCCATCCTTCCTACGAGACAGTTTCGTGCTTGGGGAAATTGATTTCCTCCAACTCTTGGCTCGGTAGGCCGAGTACCAGGTCCACTTCAATATCCTCTTCCAGCTCCTTGCCAAAGGTCTGCTCCAACCCAACCACACACGCCCAAATGCTGCCTTTCAGGATGACCGTGGTTTAGTTACTTTGGGGACCTCTATGGGTCAGCTTCTCTTCCAGTTAAATTCTGAAAATTTAAATTCACTGTGCTTCCCAAACTTTTTGTTATCTTCACTTTCTGTATTTAATTTTACAGTCCCAACACTGATCATTAATGAATAGATTTATGTGCCTGGGATCCAGGAATCCTGGTTTTGATGACAGTTTCTCCTGATTTTATTAAAAACTTTAAGCTGGTCCCTTTCCACCTCTTTTCTGTTTCTCACTCTGAAAAATTAATAAGACTTCCATTTTGGGGGGAGATGAGGGATCGTACGTTTTATTAGCATTTTCACCCATGAAGGGAATTAATGTCCCCTCCAGGGTCTCCTCCTGTCTCTGAGTCCAGTGAACTAAGTCCGGTGATCTATACAGCTGTGCCGTGCTGCCTCTAACCCTTACCCACTTTTTTTCTTCACATGCTGATAATGAGGATTCATGGGTCTGTATCTGTTTAGTGCTTTAATATTTTGGCAAAAGATGTGGGGAGAAGATAGACTAGACTTGAAGCCAGTATGATTTCTTCTGTGTACTTCTTGGGTTATATCCGTGTTTGCAGTAACATTTGCTATTCCTGTGCAACTGAATTCTTGGGGAATAACGATGCAATCAGATGATACTGGGAATGGAATCATAAAAAATCTCCCCAACTTTATTTCCAAGCCCAAGCGTTTTGATTTTGTTTACTTTGTTTGTTTTGAATGCAGTCATTAAAATAGATCCACCCTAATAAAACTGTCGACACCCCTTAGCAGAAATTCTGGTTTGATGTTTACATTCCAAAACCAAATTGTGCTGTGCTGATACGATATTTATAGCGGCTCCACGCCTCAAAAGTAGACAATATAGTATTTAGGTTTAACAGAAAAGGGGAAAAAAAAGAATGAACAAAAAAACCTTATTGTCATTTAGTGCTGCTTCAAAGGCATGTTTCTTCCTACTTCTCATCTGTCTCTTTGCTTGGTTCTTAGCAATGTTTTCATGTCTTTTTGCAAATTTTAGTGTAGACCCCAGAGGGTAAATTCTGACTACTTTAGTGGACTCAAAAGTTGAATCTTATTTTCTTGAAGATTTTCATTGTTGTCTTTACTGTGTTTAATACCTGTAAGTCATTTGTTAAAATGATGTATTATACTTATTTGTGAAGCCTTCCTTGCAAACAGGGAAACTGAGGTTATAAGAAGGGAAAGTGACATGTCCAAGGTGTTACAAGTAGCCTGAGTGGGAACCAGGCAGCTCTTCGGGCGATATGGGCTGTAGGCTAGTTCTTCTGTCTCCTAGTTTTATGCCTTTCTATGATGCATTCAATGTATTGATATCTGTATCTTAAGCCCCTCCTCCATAAAATGATGACAGTGAGTACTCAAAGTGAGTGACACTGCCTTAATCATAGATTGTTTTTGGTTTGAAGAAGCATGTCCTAGTGTAAAGATTTGATACTTAACTAGGACAACTTTAACTTCAGAAAACCTCATTTCCACAATTGTAAAGTGGGGATAATTATATTTACTGTAAAGCACTGAGAGATAATGGAGCTGAAGAGCCTAGCCCAGTGAGAGGAGGCACCTAGTGGCTTCTCAGTAAATGGTGACCATTGTTAATAAGATAATGCTGATAATGGTGTTGCACATGCGGAGAGAGATGAGATAACAGTAAATTTTAAATGGGACGATTTTAAACTATTTAAAAGTGTTATGGGGATATAAGGTGGCCTTACTATTAGGAGGAACCGCCTTACATTCTGGCCATTTTATATTTAAGGGCATGAGGGAATAGGTAAAAGTTGTTTATTTTGAGACACTGCTTAGCTTTAAAAGGTGGTGTGGGGAAGTTATGGTTATAAGAGTATATTGAAGATCTGGTAGTTATTAAACTGGAGAAATCATGGTTTATGGAAGAAGAGGAAGGTTCTTAGATAACTTGAATAATGACATGAAATAGTAGTTTGAGATCGGGTGTAAATTTGGATCCTTTGCTGCTTCCATCTAGGTCTCGAGTCGGAGCGCCAGCCTCGGGCTCCCTGGACCTCCATCATGGAGACTGAGAGTGAGCAGAGCTCCAACTCCACCAATGGGAGCTCCGGCTCTGGGGGCAGCTCTCGGCCCCAGATAGCTCAGATGTCACTGTACGAACGGCAAGCAGTGCAGGTGAGGCTTAGCTCTGAGGGGCTGTGATCTGTGAGCATTGGCTTGGGGTGGGCAAGGATGCAGGAAGATAATTGCCCTTGGTTCCTTTCCAGCAAACGCGGGGAGTTGGATTAGGTGACAACTAAGGTCCCTTCCAGTTCTGAGAATCTTAGGAGTTCACAACAGTTTGAGCAAGGAGGCAGAATGAGATTCAGTCTTTAAGGTTTTTATGCCATTCAGTTCATGTTGCTAGATTCTAACTAACCATTTCTCTTTATGGATTGTCAGGTTTTTAATTTTTGGTCTTTCTTGAAAATCATCCTGAGTAATGGAAGTTAAGAACTTTTACTTAAAATATTTTAGCTACTAGAATAACTATGCATATCCTAAGACTGGTCCTAATTATTAAAAAGAATACAGTAGTATCCTGAAGTTAATGTTAAAACTGAATTACCAGTATCATCTTGATAAACACCCATTAGTATTATGCTGTAGGTGTTTGAAAATGCCAGTTACTTGAAAATTTTACCTGACACAGTCTTTCATAAGTGACCGTTTACTCTATTTTTCATTGTATCCAACCCCTTAGGATTCTGTCACCTTTATTGTATCCCTAGAATATGGTCTTTTATTTTCTTCTTCTCTTTACATTAATCAACATCCCATTTATTTTCAAACCAGTTTAGTCCTAATTCTTTGTTATATCGTATATTAACAGATTCCTTTTGGGAAATAAGAGTTCATGTGAGTTACACTGCTTTACTTTTCAAGAATAGAGCACAGCAGAATTAACTGCTTGTCTACTTTTTAAGGACTTACTGGTTCTGATATAAAAATGGACAAATCAGATGTTGACAGTTTAACCAGATACCCATCTTCCTTTGTTTCCCTCCTTCCCACATGTTCCTTTCAGAGGATCACAGTGTATTTCCATAGAATAGGAGTTAGGAGTGATTCTTCTTTTTTTCCTGGCCACGCCATGCGGCTTGCGGGATGTTAGTTCCCCGACGAGGGATCGAACCCGTGCCCCTGCATTGGGAGCAAGGAATCTTAACCACTGGACCGCCAGGCAAGTCCCAGGAGTGATTCATTCTAAGTGGATTGATCCCCGCTCTTTCTTCCTAGGCTCTGCAGGCACTGCAGCGTCAGCCCAACGCGGCTCAGTATTTCCACCAGTTCATGCTCCAGCAGCAGCTCAGCAATGCCCAGCTGCACAGCCTGGCTGCCGTCCAGCAGGTGAGAGGTCAGCAGCTAGCTGGCCCAGGAGGGAGGGAACAGGCACTACAGGTGGGTCGGGGCACGCTACCTTCTCCGCTGAGCCAGGCTGGAAACAGTCTCCTCTGCCTCCTGTCCTCCTGCAGGAGGCTGAAGGGACCTTAGTGTCTGGGCTCTCAGTAAGAACTGTGGGGAAACTACCTTTTAGAGGTAGCATGGCTTTGTGCTAGACCTGTACCGTCCAGTATGGTAGCCGTTAGCCACAGGTAGCTATTGAGCACTTAAAATACAGCTAGTGCAAACGGAGGTGTGCGAAAAGATTTTGGATTTCAGAGACTTAGTGTGAAAAAAAAATTTCAGTAGTTTGTTTATGTTGGTTACATGTTGAAATGAGATAGATCAGCTTGAATAAAGTAAATTATTAAAGTTTACTTCTCCTGTTTCTCTTCACTTTTCGAGAAATGTTCATACTAGATTATATATGTGGCTCGTATTATATTTGTATTGATTGGGCAGCACTGGGTTGGACTTAGCAGTGACTCATGACGTCACCTGACCAAAGTTTCTTGCAGCTAAAAGAAAGTGGGAGGAAGAGAGTGGGTTGCCTGCCTGCCCCGGCTGGGTATGTGGGAGTTATTGGGTTAGCATATGTGACAACATGAGGGTAATTGGGATTGTGAAGACACTGGTCCTTGCTCCATAGTAGAGGCTCTCAGTTCTTACCTGAGATCTCTATTATATTTTGTGCCTGTGATCTATTACTGGCAGATTCAGAGCCTTTTCCTTCATTGTCTCTGCTCTTTCTTGTCTTCTTTCCCCTCTAACAGGCCACGATTGCTGCCAGTCGGCAGGCCAGCTCCCCAAACACCAGCCCTGCCCAGCAGCAGACCACCACCACCCAGGCCTCCGTGAGTACTGCCCCTCCCCTCCGAGGGGCTTTCCTCTCTGAGTCTTTGTCTCTGGGTTAAACTACTTTGTGCTGCTGGTCTGAGAGTGTTTATTGAGCCGTCAATGGTATTTACTGCCCTTACGTAGAGAATATTAGTAAAATGGAAAGTAACAGCTTGGATCTGTATAGGAGTCTTAACGAGGAGATCTAAGAAAGGAGGAGGAAAATCCTGCGTAGGCGGTAGCAAAGCCTTGAATGAGAAGTAAGGTCGGTTCCGTTTCGTTCCTTTGCCTTCTCAACTGTTACGCTGGTGGTTAGGGACTGGTTTGGTGATACCCTCCAGTAGCCGGATGACAGTAATGGATAGCAAGGTATTATTCATTTCCTCCTGACTCTGTGAAAGTGAGATACTCTGTTCTTGACCGCATCACTCTGAATTTGTCAGTCGTGTATATTTCCTTTTACCTCTCCCCAATCCTGAGTCCTGGTTCCTTTCTGTACCACACAGATCAATCTGGCCACCACGTCGGCTGCCCAGCTCATCAGCCGATCCCAGAGTGTGAGCTCTCCCAGTGCTACCACTTTGACCCAATCTGTGCTACTGGGGAACACCACCTCCCCACCCCTCAACCAGTCCCAGGCCCAGATGTATCTACGGGTAAGCCAAAGCCACAGTCGCTGTTGCCCCAGGGGCATAAATGTCCTGTGTCTTATTGAGTGAAAGCTATTTTTTATTTTTTTGGCCATACCACGCAGCTTATGGGATGTTAGCTCCTCGACTAGGGATTGAACCCGGGCCCGCAGTAGTAAAAGCGCCGGGTCCTAACCACTGACCACCAGGGAATGCCCAGAGTGAAAGCTGTTTTATTTAATCATGGTTACCCAGATGTTTTAAGACAAGCTGATCTGCTTCTTCTGCCTTACTTAACCTCTAGAAGTGATGCTTAGTGTTTACAGGTAGCCTGCAGATTATTGAGATCCTAAGTTAGAAGATGTTCACCTTAGTATTTGAGAAATTTGCGTCAGATAATAGTCTAATCTTTAAATCTATGACTCAAGTACACGAATCCTAAGTGTTATGTCTTGGCCTGTCTGCTTACTATATATAGACACTTGCTCCACAATCCTCATTGTCTCAACTTCTTTGACGTTTGATTCTTTGTTATCAGTGTATAGTTTTATACACGTTCTAGGTTTTCTTCGGATGCTTCATCGCACGTGGAAAATAAGGGTCTCCTGGGTTGGTGTGGAAAGGGGCAGGGCTTAGCTGTTTCATATCTTCTGTTTATTTTGTCTTGTGGTCCCTCCCTTCCGTCTCTTCTGTCTCTCTTCTTTTCCTCTTGCTCTCTTCCCTCTGCTCGTCCTCTTCCTCCTCCTTGCCAGCCACAGCTGGGAAACCTGTTGCAGGTAAACCGGACCCTGGGCCGGAATGTGCCTCTAGCCTCCCAGCTCATCCTGATGCCCAACGGGGCGGTGGCCGCGGTCCAGCAGGAGGCGCCATCTGCTCAGCCTCCGGGAGTTCACGCAGATGCCGATCAGGTCAGTGGCGACCACTTGACCTGTGGACTGACGCTGGGGAGGGTGAAGGGAATGGCCTCGGACCAGGGCCCACCCTTCCACCCCATTACCACTTTTCAGAATCCTTTTTAAAAAAAATTTCTGTAGAACTTGAATACCTTACACCTTTTTAGTTCTTTGAGTTAGGAAGGGAAGTAGACTTGACTGAAAACAGCCCTGTGAATGTGGGAAGCCTTATTCTTAATACAGCACATATGTCCTTACCCTTCTTTTAGCCCTCCATGGCTCAGTTTCATTCAGGAAGTCTTAGTTCTCTCTTCTTGCAGTACTGTCTCTGTAAGATAAGGGATGGTTGAGGGAATTCTAGTTAGACACACGTGAAGCTGACCTGGCTGAGTTACTGGCAAAACACTTGATTCCTTGTCTTTATGAGTCACTGTAGCTCTCAACCTTCAGCAGTCTGTTTCCGCTCACTGTGTTCGCAGTAAAGTCTTCCTCACCACTGCTTCCCATGCCTTATCTCCAGTGTGTGTGTGTGTGTGTGTGTGTGTGTGTGTGTGTGTGTGTGTGTGTACATATATAGAGAGCCTGAATGTTTTAGCTTCTTACGGGTGGGATACAAACTGGGATCTCATAGTACTCGTTTCATTCTTTTAGTTTATCAGTCAGCAAGTAAATATTGCGCTCTCTCTTTTGATGTGCTCAGGTATATACTAGAAACTGGGGGATTGAAAAATGAGTCAAGTCTTCAAAGAGCTTAGAGAAGAAAGAAGTGCAAAAGTAAACAGTACCAACTTTGAGTGATGCAGCAGTTTAGGGAAGAGTTGCCTGCATTTCTTTTCAGTGACTTTTAGGAACATGAACAGATTCTTAAAGGACGGGTAGGATTTGATTTGGGGTAAGAAGAACACTGGAGAGAGAATAGTATGTGTAAAGGCCTATCTCACGTACGTGAAGATGATTTGGGGATGAGTGAATAAAGTGGAGACAGCAGGCCTGTGGCTGGAAAGGTCGTTGTTAGGGAGAAGTCTGAAAGCCAGGTAACTTCACAGGTAGCAGTGGCACTGCTGGCTTGAAAGGCAGATTGATAGGGTCAGGAAACTCCTTGAGAAAGAATCATTTAGGAACACGTGCCTGGAGAAGAAAGAGAAATGAGGGGACCTGCTAAGAAACTGCTGAGGTCATTTAGTTACAAGGTAAGGCCTTTGGTTTAGACTACAGTGATAACTGTGGAATCAGAGGATGAGGTGGAGCCTGCTTCCATAGCAATTCTTCCATTTATCCATCTATTTATTCATCAGATATTTGTGTGTCAGTGTGTGGACGGACAGAGCAGTGGTTGAAAGTGGGAATCTGATGTTTGGGTCAGATTCCAACTCCATGACTTAGTGTGACCCCTGCAAATGGCCTAACATTTTTAGCCACAATTTCTTCATCTATTAAATAGCTGTTATAAAATACTTACCTCAGAGTGTGTTGTGAGGCCCAAGGGAGTTGATGTGTGTAAGCGTTTGAAGAGTGCCTGGACACAGCATAGTGAGTGTTTTTAAGAGTTTAGCCCTCATTACGATCAGATATCAGACGTTCCTTGGCCTTGAATGTCCAAGGTCATGATCACTGGACTGATGGAGATGACACATCATCAAAGCACATTGAACAGATAATCACCTGAATAGTTTAGTGATTGCTTCATTAGAAAGTACAGTGTGCTGGGACTTCCCTGGTGGTGCAGTGGTTAAGAATCCGCCTGCCAATGCAGGGGACACAGGTTCGAGCCCTGGTCCAGGAAGATCCCACATGCCGCGGAGCAACTAAGCCCGTGCGCCACAACTACTGAGCCTGCTCTCTAGAGCCCACGAGCCACGACTACTGAGCCCATGTGCTGCAACTACTGAAGCCCGCCTGCCTAGAGCCCGTGCTCCACAGCAAGAGAAGCCACCGCAACGAGAAGCCCTTGTACCGCAACGAAGAGTAGCCCCCTGTCACCGCAGCTAGAGAAAGCCTGCACGCAGCAACGAAGACCCAATGCAGCCAAAAATAAATAAATAAATTTATATTAAAAAAAAAGTACAGAGTGCTCTGAAAACATAGAAAGGGACTTAATTTAGCCTTGGGATGGGGGTAGAAGTCAAGAAGGTGTTCCCGAGGAGATGGCAGTTAAATGGGGGCCTGTAGAAGTTAGTCAGGGGAAGACATGGAATGAGAGTGAAGGCAGGGCCCCCCCCCATGTCCAGAGACCTGAGGAGGGAAGGGACTTTGTATATTTGAGTCACTAAAAGAAGACCCGTGTTCCTGGAGCCTGGCGCTGGGGGATGGAGATGGCACTGGGGAGGTGGGGGAAACTAATCTTGCAGGGCCTTGGGGACTGTGTGTAGGATTGGGGGCTCTGTGTGAAGGCCAGTGGGAAATGGCAGTGACTTGGAGACTTGAGGGTTTAAAAAATTTTTTTTTTAGTTTAAGGACTATGTTGGCTCCTCTGGAGGATAAATGGAAATGGTGTGAGTGTGAATATAGGGAGGAAAACAGTGTTGTAAGAGTTTAGGGGGAAGACGTTTGGATTAGGTGGTAGCAATGTAGATGGACAGAAATGTGTAGATTGGAGAAAAACTTCGAAGATCATTGGAAAGGAAGGCCTGACCCAGTGGATGGGGGAGTGGGGGGAGGTGCCAGAGCTGGGATCTGACATGGCCTGAGGGGCCAGGAGCGCTGTGAATGCGATGAAGAATGCCGGGAAGTGGACGCAGGGTGAAGTTCACTTGAGGATGTGCCGACCTAGCAGTGCTTGTGAGCCGCCCACGAGGAGGTCTCGGGTCAGCAGTCTGATGTACACAGTGCTCAGCTCGGAGAAGTCTGACTGAGTTGGAGATGAACAGACAGGAGTAGTGTGCGTGGAGATAATAAGAGAAGTCAAGCACCGGAAACCGCTTGGGGAGCTGGTACGGATCGAGAAGAGAAAATCCTTCAAGCTGGAGCCCCGAGGTTTAGAATGAGCCATTAGAAAATAGAGCAGCTCCAGGTGGAGTAGAGGGTGGTGGGCTGGCAGAGGGGAGGAGGCAAGAGTGACAGACAAGATCTGGATTGTGCAGGGTCACGAAGACAAGGGAGCAGAATGTTATGAAAGTGGAGGGGGTCCTCTGTCCAGTTCAGTGGAGAGGGCGGGAGAGCTGGACTTAGGTCTGTGGGTGGAGAGCCCTTCCAGGGGAGTCGGGGGCTGAAGCCAGAGGAGTGGTGTGACTTGAGGAATGACTGGGTGGTGGGAGTCGGTGCGGTGGTTGTAAACAATTATTAAGAGATTAGCAAGAACAGGAGAGGAGGGTGAAGCTGGGCTTGGGAATGGGGTTCTGCTTGGTGATGGCAGGGAGCCAGTAGAGGAGAGGTTGAAGCAGGAGGAGGGGATGGGACCCTCAGCCTGGAGAAGGACGGCCCTTGGCGAGGAGGAAGGAGAGGGAGAGGGGGTGGTAAGTGACGGGGGCAGGTGCAGGGGCAGGTTTGGTGGAACTGCTGAAGCATCGTGCACATCTAGTGGTTTTATTGTCTCTGCTGGAGTGAACAGTGACAGGGGAAAGAGGAAGTGGTTCTGAGGTACAAGGAGAGGAGGAAAGTTTTAAATAGCCATTATGGAAAGGAAGCCGGTTAGAAAAGGTAAGAAGTATATAAGCGCCCCAGCACCCAATCCTGATGATTCTTGTAAATCTCTCTCAGAAGCTATTGCCTCTTCTTCTTTATTACTGTTGTCTGAATTCGGGTTCTTTTTGTTTTTCGCCTGAATTACTGTACTAGTTTCCTAATTGGTCTCTTGACTTCAGCCATATCTACTTCTAATCCTCTCCCACATTACTAACAGAATAAGTTTTTTAATAAGGAGATATATGTTGTTACTAACATTATTTTTAATTGTACCTCTGGTGTACAGAATTTGATAAATCATAATCCTTGGCTCATGGCCTCCTCTCATCAATGGTCTACTTTTTAAAAATATTTACTCAGTAAGTTTTAATCATGTAATAAGCCATCCCCAGTTCCATCCACTGCCTCCCCTTACCCATGATTCCTAGGTTCATCCTTCCCTGTGTCCCTTTTTATATAGTTTTATTGCCTTTACGTATATTTCTAAAATGTACTTTTATTATGGAACATTTCAGACATAAACAAAAATATAAAGAAATATGAATCTCCATGTACTTAACCATCCAGCGTCAGCATTTATAAACATGTGGCCAATCTCTCCAGACCCCCTTCCCTTCACCTGTGGATTATTCAGAAGCAAATTCCAGATACCATATCATTCATATATATATATATATATACACACACACACACACACATGTCTAATTTATATTTAAATTTATAAGGTACTTGTGTGTAGTCTTTTTGGGAATGATTTCTTAATAGCTTATTGTCAAAATCCGTCTGTATTGTTGTATGTCATTGTACTTTATTCATTTTGATTTCTATGTAATATTCCATCGTGTAAATATAGTACACATCTTAATTCATCTTCTCTTCTGATTATGGCCATTCAGTTGGTTTCCAGGCTTTTATTATCATGACTAGTGCTGCTGTGACCATTCTTAACACAAGCCACCCATTGTATACGGCGAGCATTTCTCTTATGGGATTCCTGGGTTATTAGAGTGTGTGTGAATAGTCACCTTTAGGATATGATGCCAAACTGTTTTCCAAAGTGGTTGTACTGATTTATACTTTCATCAGCAGTGTTTAAAAGAATAGTTTCGACTATAGATTTGATCACGATGATTCTGATGCATATTCTTCAGTGGCTTCCTGTAATCCATTAAGTGCTCATCATTCCTTCTCTCTGTTCATACCTTGGAGCACTTACTATCTGTCAGGCACTGTGCTAGGTGCTGGGAATATAACAACAAAGAAGATGGAGAAACTTTGTTTCCAAAGTAAAGTTCAGGCTCTCTTTATTTTAACACACCAGGCCCTTCGAGATCTGTCTCTTTCTAGCCTCAACCTACCTTCCTAGCTTCATTTCTTGCCATTTCCTCTAGTTCACCCCAAACATAATGAAGTATTTATAATTTCCAAAAATGCTGTGCTCTTTCTTGGCTCAGTGGTCTTGCAGTGTTGTCACCTATGTCTTCAAACCCCTGCCTTCACTATTACCTGTTGGTTCTCAGCTCAGACATCACCTGTTTTAGGACGTCTTCGCTAATCTCCCTAGTCTGAGTTAATCTCCTCTCTGTGCTCGTGTAGCACTGTGTGCCTATCTGTGCATAGTGTAATTTGGTTTTCTTGTCTTTTTTAGTAGAAAGTACTCATTAAAAGCAGGGGCTCGTGTCTTTCATCTCTGCATTCCCAGTATCCAGTGTGGTACCTGAAGCATAGTAGATGTTTTGTAGATGTTGAATGAATGAATGGAGGGGAAAGGGAAAATCGGAGACATTTTGAAGGAATAAAATAACCAAACTAGATGATGGATTTGATAGTGAGTGAAGGAGCCTGAAAAATCAAATATGACTTGAGTCCCTCCCTGGGAAGGCCTTCACTGTGTACGTTTGTATAGGACGGGGTACGAGTTGAGGGGGGCTGTGGAATATCTGTAGCTGTCGTCACTGCTTCGGAATCAGTCACAGAAATCTTTACCCTGAGTGCCCCCTGTTCCCCTTTTCTCAGTCTGTCTTTTGCTTCTTATCTTTCAGGTGCAGAACTTGGCAGTCAGGAACCAACAGGCCTCAGCCCAAGGACCCCAAATGCAAGGCTCTGCTCAGAAGGCCATTCCTCCTGGAGCCTCCCCTGTCTCCAGCCTCTCCCAGGCCTCTAGCCAGGCCCTCGCTGTGGCTCAGGCTTCCTCTGGGGCCTCAGGCCAGTCCCTCAACCTTAGTCAAGCTGGTGGAGGCAGTGGGAATAGCATCCCAGGGTCCATGGGTCCAGGTGGCCAGACACCTGGGGGCTTGGGTCAGTTGCCTTCCTCAGGAATGGGTGGTGGTGGGAGCTGTCCCAGGAAGGGCACAGGAGTGGTGCAGCCCTTGCCTGCAGCCCAGGCAGTGACTGTGAGTCAGGGCAGCCAGACAGAAGCAGAAAGTGCAGCGGCCAAGAAGGCAGAAGCAGATGGGACTGGTCAGCAGAGCGTGGGCATGAACCTGACACGGACAGCCACACCTGCTCCCAGCCAGACCCTTATTAGCTCAGGTAAGCTGTCACCTCTCATAATGTCATTGTTCTCTCGGGACTTGTTTGAAATCGTCAGAGTACATATCTTTGCCATTTTTCCTGCTTGTCTTGGTCCCGGACTAGTGGAAGGAAAGAGAATCTCATCAACCTTGATCATATTAGTCCAGGGAGACAGGACGACAGGTAACAGAGATGGATCTTGTCTGTTTCCACCAGGCAGCAGTCAGTTTACAAGTTGCCTTGTCCTCTCTTTCTTAGGTCCTGAGTTATTCAGTTTACTCACTCGAACCCTTCATTCACTTGGTTCTTTTTGAATTGCCTACTATGTTCTAGGAGGTGCTGGGACACACCTTTGAAAAACAGACTCCTCTGCTCACGGAGCTTACAGTTTAGCATAAGGGATGTGTTTAATGTTGGTTAGTTGGCCCAGTGTAGAGCAGAGGCTGTATAGGTGCCTTAGAGCACTTAGGATGAGCAAATAGAGCCATGATTTAATACAGTCAACTTGTGATCATCTGTATCAATGATAAGGATAAAAAAGAATAAATAATAACGCCAAATAGTTCTTGATTTCAGACTGTGTATAGAGTTAGATGTGTGCACCTTACTTGGCAATGTTTATTTTTGCCTTCCTTGTTTCTAGTTCTTTAGTTGTTGCTATATTTGAATAATGTATTCACAAAATGTAACAGTTAATTATCAGTTTAATACCTAGTATTTACACACTGTAGCACTTCTGTTACCGAAGTGCTTTCATTTCACATATATCCTCTGGACGCTCTGGTAGAGTATGGAGCGGGGAGATCCCAACTCTAGTTTACAGTGGAGGAAACTGGGTAAAGTCCGAGCTCGCAGCTGCTGACTCGTAAGACATCTTCTCATAGGCGGTGACCCAAACTGATAAATGTTGGAGACCGAGGCATTCACGGGAAGATGTTGGTATCTTTACCTCTGTGGACGTTTATTATTTCAGTGACTGCTAAGTGTTTCTCATGTGTCAGGCCCTGGGCTGGGTTCTAGGGATGTAAAAATGAATGAAACATGGCCTCAGTGCTTGAGGAGCTGAGTCTAATCGTGGAGAGGATGGGCCCGCCGTTGTCCTTGCTGAGTGCAAAGTAACAGAATTTAAGTAGAGCAAAAAAGTAAAAGTCAGATAAACGCAAGAAGTTACCGAGGACTGTTAACTGCTCGAGCAAGAGTGGTCTCTCCTGGAAACCTTTAAGACTGGGGTAGTTGGTAACGTCAGACTAGGAAGGAGTGTGAGCCAAGCAGCCGCCTGGGCCCCTCCAGGCTCGCCTTCCATTAGCCGTCTGGGTCCGCCTCGGAAGGGTGCTCTGGCTTCCCATTCCTGGGGCTACTGCTGATTTTCTGCCCCCCTCCCTCTTTGTCGCTTCGGGGCTGTCCCCGCAGCCACCTACACGCAGATCCAGCCCCACTCCCTGATCCAGCAGCAGCAGCAGATCCACCTGCAGCAGAAGCAGGTGGTGATCCAGCAGCAGATCGCCATCCACCACCAGCAGCAGTTCCCGCACCGCCAGGCGCAGCTGCTGCACACGGCCACCCACCTCCAGCTGGCCCAGCAGCAGCAGCAGCAGCAGCAGCAGCAGCAGCAGCAGCAGGCCGCGCCCCTCCCTGCCCCCCCGCCCCCGCAGGGCCCCCCTGCCCAGCAGGCCCCGCCTTCGCAGTCCCAGCAGCCAGCCCAGACTCTGGTTGTCCAGCCCATGCTGCAGTCTTCGCCCTTGTCGCTCCCTCCTGACCCAGCCCCCAAGCCCCCCGTCCCCATCCAGTCCAAGCCACCTGTGGCCCCTGTCAAGCCTCCTCAGCTGGGGGCTGCCAAGATGTCAGCCACCCAGCAACCTCCGCCCCACATCCCCGTGCAAGTCGTAGGCACCCGGCAGCCAGGTACAGCCCAGGCCCAGGCTTTGGGGCTGGCCCAGCTGGCAGCTGCCGTGCCTGCTTCCCGGGGGATGACAGGCACAGTGCAGCCTGGCCAGGCCCACGTGGCCTCTTCGCCACCTTCATCCCAGGCCCCTGGTGCGCTGCAGGAGGGCCCGCCCGCGTTGGCTTCGGGGATGACCCTGGCTCCTGTGCAGGGGACGGCACATGTGGTGAAGGGGGCGGCTACCGCCTCCTCGCCTGTTGTGGCCCAGGTCCCTGCCGCCTTCTACATGCAGTCTGTGCACCTGCCGGTGAGTGATGCCTGATGGCTTTGAGGGCACTATCATCCTTGAGAGGACCTGAGTTTAATTTAGGAGGGGAATAAGGAGTTATGAAGGTTAAGATACTGGTATTGATCACTGCTTCTTTTGTAAGAGAGAGACATGTTCATGGAAGGTTAAGATCCTGGCACGCACTTCTTCCTTTTGTAAGAGGGAGACATTAGTGTAGATAATACCTGAAGTTCATACTCCTAAATTTGCCACTGAAATTCTGTTTTTGGACCTGTACTAAGTTATATCAAGATATAGCCTTAACCACCAAAATTGATTTTTAGAAAAACAACAGTTAGTGGTTGGGCTGTTGATGAACCCAGGGTCTCCAGGTCTACGTGAGGACCTGGAGAAAATGTTGTATTTTTTGTCTTGATGTAGAAGTTACACTTCTTGGGAATGACCAGAAATTTTACTGTACTGTGGGAAGTATACAAATTGGGGAATCTAGAACTAAGAAAATTTTCTCTGACAGTATGGGAATAATTGTGTTTTCTTGTTACCCTTCACTCATAAATGTTTTCTTTCCTGTTCTTCACTTTATAGGGCAAACCCCAGACATTGCCTGTCAAACGCAAGGCTGAGTCAGAGGAGGAGAGAGACGATATCTCCACGTTGAGTTCAATGCTTCCTGCGAAGGCGTCTCCGGTAGTAGAGAGCCCGAAGGCCATGGAGGAGAAGGGCGGTCTTGGAGGTGAGTAACTGGCTTCTGCAGTGCTGCTGGAGTACATAGAAATTAGAGGAAAGTTCTGAGTGAGCTGAAAGATCACTCTGCCTCAGTAGGCTTGGTGGAGTAGATCCAAACACGGGGAATCCAGGGTGAATGATCAAAAGGGAACATGTATTACTGTGGAAGATCAGGCTGACCTGGCTCATAGATGGATCAGCTAGGTCATCCCCTACCTGTCCCTGAATCTTGTGTTTATTTTCCAGACAAAGCTGAACCAGTGACCAGTGTGAATGCTGGTACCCCGAGCAGTGATGTAGTAGCCTTGGCTCCTGCCCCGTCAGCACCGCCTCCCACGCTGGCCATGGTGTCCAGACAGATGGGTGACTCCAAGCCCCCACAGGCCATTGTGAAGCCCCAGATTCTCACCCACATCATCGAAGGCTTCGTTATCCAGGAAGGAGCAGAACCTTTTCCGGTGAGGGCAGGGCCAGAAGGTGGGGCTTGGTCTGATTGTTGTCTTTTCAAACTCCACGAAATCAAAAGGCTCAGAACTATTTAATTATTAGCGAATGGTTCAATTCTGTTGTTTGTATGGTTAGTTGTAAAGAAGGAAGTGAAGAGAAGAAAGAATATGTAGACTAGAAAGTGAAAATGTTGGGAAGAGGAGAAGAAAAGGAAGAAAGTGACCTCTAAAGCGGTCGTGTTTAGTTAGACAAATTAGGTTGTGTTATAGTGAAGAAAACTGTGGTAGAGAAGGTAAGAGAGTTTTCTGGATACCATGAGTTGCAGAACCAGGACTTAGAACACAGGTATCTTGACTCCTAGTATGTTCCCTACAATTTAGGAAGGAAAAGGACAAAATAGGGAGCCCAGGTAGGAACCTGTTCTCCAGTGGCTTATCTGAAAAAAGCCAGTTAGAGGCTTTTGATTGCTATATTGAAAATGGTTTTCTCTGCATCGGACTTGGTCATTAACTCAGAACTCTGGGCAGAGACATGGTGGTGAAAAATGGTGGGGAAAGCTATAGGGAAGCAGAAAGGAATTAGGCTAACTTAACTAACCTTTTTCTGGGACAGGTGGGTTGTTCTCAGTTACTGAAAGAGTCTGAGAAGCCACTGCAGACTGGCCTCGTGACAGGGCTGAATGAGAATCAGTCGGGTGGCCCCTTAGGTGGGGACAGCCCATCTGCTGGTAAGTATTTATTTAGAGACCCATCTGGGGAAGGAGGCTGATGGAGATGTGTTTGAGGACTTAGTGTAAAATAGGAATTATCTATTTAAAGTGGGAATTACGTGAAGTCCATCCACGCTGAGAAACCAGAAGCCACATCATATAACAGAATACGTAGACTCACACAAAAGTTGTTCCATAGGATAGAATTAAGGGGAATTTTATCAAGCTAGTAATCTGTTGAATTATTTACTATGAGGATATATTTTTCAAAAGACGATCTAAAATAGGCTGTTTCTGGGAATTCCCTGGCCGTTCAGTGGTTAGGACGCCACGCTTCCACTGCAGGGGGCACGGGTTTGATCCCTGGTTGGGGAACTAAGATCCTGCATGTTGCAGGGTGCGGCCAAAAAAAAAAAAACAGGCTATATCTTAATTTCCAGTTCTCCTTATTCTAGATTCTGTACTACATGTTAAGGAGTCCTGTTCACATTTCCCCCCCTGCTTTTGGAAACTTCTGTGGGAGAGAGGTCTTATGTCTTTCCAGGCATTAAGTAATCCTTTCCTCTCTCCTGTTCAGAAATGCAGTCTTGTCTGAAATCTGAGATTATGAGTCAGGATAATATTAGTCATTTAAAGTGGAAATCGTCTGGCTTAAGGTTAGGAAGACTGTGATGTTCTTGAGGGACAGTTCTTTACGGTTCTGGATCTTGAACTTTGTTTTAGGGAGATTCTCAATTAGGTTGAGTAGGTCTTTGGGGGGAACCCTGAGAGTAATTAGAGTCCAGCGCTGGGCCTGATGGGGGCCTGAGTGGCAGCAGAAACCGATGCAGCCCTCCCGCGCTGCCTTGTTTTCAGAGCTCGAAAAGAAGGCGAACCTCCTGAAGTGCGAGTACTGTGGGAAGTACGCCCCTGCAGAGCAGTTTCGCGGCTCCAAGAGATTCTGCTCCATGACTTGCGCAAAGAGGTACTGTAGGCACCCCGCCTCACCCCCCTCCATCTAACCTTACACCCCTTCCCTAGGATCTGCTCAAGGCTCATAGTTAATGTCTCCTCGGCTTTCATTCCCTTCCCCAAATCGGCCCTTAAAATCCCAGTTCACATTTAGTGCAGGGGAGCAAGGCGGTCCTCTCTGGTAGCACTCATGACCTCCTGTACGTGCCCCGACCTGTAGGTATAATGTGAGCTGTAGCCACCAATTCCGGCTGAAGAGGAAAAAAATGAAAGAGTTTCAAGAAGCCAACTATGCCCGCGTTCGTCGGCGCGGACCCCGCCGCAGCTCCTCCGACATCGCCCGTGCCAAGATCCAGGGCAAGCGTCACCGGGTGAGCTGCCGGTGCGGGGCGCACTACCTCAGAAATGGGCCTTTTTCCTTCCTCTTCCGCACGGGGCAGTTCCTTTGCCCAGCTAAAATGAGTATGAGACCAGAACTCCGGTTTTGCGTCGATTGCCTTACTCCAAATTCCAAGAGATCCTGACCTGTGTCTCTTCTCACCTTACTGGTTGCCTGTCTGTTAATCCTTATGCCGTGTTTGAGGAGGGAAAATCTAGGGCAGTCGTTGGTAGAAGGGGAGAACCGAGAGAGGGATACAGTTCATACTTGAAAGGCACTCGAGAGCGGACTGGTGACTTCGGGCATTTGCACGTGAAGTACAGCTTATTTCACTTGTGCTAAGATTAGTTTTTCCTCTGTGCCCGATAGTAATCCAAACCCAGGGTGGCTGGGGAAAGGAGAGGGAAACCTCATGACACTGTTACTTGTGACCTGTTTTGCGTTTTTTTCTCTAGGGTCAAGAGGACTCTAGCCGGGGTTCAGATAATTCCAGTTACGATGAAGCACTCTCTCCAACATCTCCTGGGCCTTTATCCGTGCGAGCAGGGCATGGAGAACGTGACCTGGGGAACCCCAATACAGCTCCGCCTACACCAGAATTACATGGCATCAACCCTGTGTTCCTGTCCAGTAATCCTAGCCGTTGGAGCGTAGAGGAGGTGTATGAGTTTATTGCTTCTCTACAAGGTATTGCAGGCCTGTCCACCAGGACCCAGGTCACCTATATTGCTTCATTTTCCTACAGTTTTCTTTAGGTCATCCCACAGGGGCTTTTGTAACTGGAAATGTAACGGACTTAAGCAGTAGAGGCTTAAGTATGGTATGACGAAGGCTCTACTCTTGGTATTTATTCCGGTTTTGTCCACAGCCTGGTTTCCCAGTTTTCCTGGGTTGACTGTCCTCTGCTATGTCAGTAATTTTGCAACAGTTGATTTTCATCTATGATTCTTAACCAATAATTTTTAAAGTATTTTTTTATGTGTGATTAATTGGGATACCCACCATGGATAAAAGACTTTTCTCAGCGGAGAAGGGGATTAGGAAATAATGGGCCATTGTTGCCCTGCTCTCTTCAAGGCAGGATTATTTATAAGCTATTCTTTTTTTTTTAAAAATAAATTTATTTATTTAATTTATAATTTTTGGCTGTGTTGGGTCTTCGTTGCTGTGTGCGGGCTTTCTCTAGTTGCGGCGAGCGGGGGCCGCTCCTCACTGCGGTGCACGGGCTTCTCATTGCAGTGGCTTCTCTTGTTGCGGAGCATGGGCTGCTCTAGGTGCGCGGGCTGAGTAGTTGTGGCACACGGGCTCTAGAGCGCAGGCTCAGTAGTCGTGGCGCACAGGCTTAGTTGCTCCGTGACATGTGGGATCTTCCCGGACCAGGGCTCGAACCCGTGTCCCCTGCATTGGCAGATAAGCTATTCTTGACAAAGGGATGGCTTTCTCCAGCAGGAAAACCATCCTACCCTTCTTGGTATTTTGTTTGAATTCTGGGCCCTTAAAGATGTCAAGACGGCTCTTAACTTTGATTTTCTTGCCAGTGTCAAAGAAAACATATATATATTGCTCCCTCCCTTTGCCCCCCTCAGGTTATCTGAATGAAGGTATCTCTCTGGTTGAACAACTTAGGTGTTTTATCTTGGCTCTTTTTTTAAAAAAAAAATAGTTAATACTTCGGCTGCGTTGGGTCTTCATTGCTGCGCGTGGGCTTTCTCTAGTTGTGGCAAGCAGGGGCCGCTCCTCGCTACGGTGCATGGGCTTCTCGTTGTGGTGGCTTCTCGTTGTGGAGCACGGGCTCTAGGTGCGTGGGCCTCAGCGGTTGCAGCATGTGGGCTCAGCGGTTGTGGCTTGCGGGCTCTAGAGCGCAGGCTCAGTAGTTGTGGCACACGGGCTTAGTTGCTTTGCGGCATGTGGGATCTTCCCGGACCAGGGATCAGACCCACGTCCCCTGCATTGGCAGGCGGATTCTTAACCACTGTGCCACCAGGGAAGTCCATGTCTTGGCTCTTTTTGTTTTTATAAATAGCCAGTTGCTCTGATTTCATTTTGCTTCCAAAGCTTGCCATGTCAGGCCACTGTATTACTGAATTTAGGACAAGTACTTTGGTGCTACCGTGTTGTTTCTCATACATATTCCCATCATTTCCTTCTAGGCTGCCAAGAGATTGCAGAGGAGTTTCGTTCCCAGGAGATTGATGGACAGGCCCTTTTATTACTTAAAGAGGAACATCTTATGAGTGCCATGAACATCAAGCTGGGCCCTGCCCTCAAGATCTGCGCCAAGATAAACGTCCTCAAGGAGACCTAAGGTGGCCCTCTTGCACAAACCAGCCTAAGGCAGACACTCCCCACTGTCCAGGTTATAACCTGGTGCCAGCAGAGACTTCACAGGGAAGACAGAGCTGTTCCAATTCTGTATGTCTTCTGTAGAGGGGATTACTGAGACAGGGAAGACAAGTGCAAGAATTGGTCGCTGGTGCTACATGGTGGCAGCTTTGACATTTCTCTGGGTTCTACTTTATTTTTTAAATCTTTACGATTCTCACCTACCCTAATCCAATCTTTATAAAAGAGGCAGTCTAGAGAACTAGGACTGCTTGGCCTTATCCCGGAGCGGAGTGTCTAGCCAGGGTCAGAATTCTCCTAGAGGAGGAATGTACAGTATGGTGAGGCAAGGAAATGGGTGGAATGTAGGTGTGCCTCAGCAGTGGGGGAGCTAGGGTTTTCTAGCTTGTGTGACACAAGTAGCAAAATCTGGCACTCCCTCTTCCCTCTGGATCGTGTGACTGTAGCTGTGGCCCAGAGTTTTGTTGTCACTCCCTTAGTATTGGATATTTTCTCCTGCATCCACGGCAGGGTCACCAGCCAGGGTAGAGACTGGGTTGGCATCATTCTGATTTGCTGCAGGGACTAAAAGTTTTGGGCACACACGTGGCTGTTGTCTTTCTTTCCGCATCCCCCTGCTCCTTTCCAGTTTATCTGTTGTCTCCTACCCCACCTTTCTTTTCCATTCCAACTCTGCTCTGTCCTATAGCTTTATAAAGCAGGAGCGCGTGGGACTGAGGTCAGGAATAGAAGTACCTGCCTTAGGCGCTATACCTTATACAACAAAAATATTAAATATTTTTTTTCCTCCTCAGTAAAAGGATGAAAATTGGTCTCAGTTGTCTGTTACTCCATCATTCCAGTGTATCTACCCTCTTCTTTCACACAAATGACTAGGCCAACGTGTTTTTCTTTTTAATCTTTTAAGTGTTTTTGTACAAAAAAATGTATACATATATTTTTTGCATTTTTAAAACACCAGAGTGTGGGGGAGGGATGCAAACAAATAACAAAAAAGATGCTTTTATAACATTATTTTCCCTGTTTAGAAAGAAGAAAAAAAATCATTCCAATAGTGTTTAAAAGTCCAAAGATGAAATCATTTCATTTCCTTCTCTAAAGGCTAAAAGAGGCCCCTGCCTATTGATTCCATCCTCCTGTGTCCAGTGGAGCCATGTTACTCTTCAGTGGCCCAGGCTCACTATCACACAAAGATCAGGCCAGGTTTCTGGGCACACGGCCTGAACAGAAAGGTGGAAGCATCAGAAGATTAAGACCGTCTCCCCACAGAAGTAATGTCGTGGGCAAGAAGACACGTCCCTGAGCCAGAAAAAGGGACAAGTGCTGCAGCCGCCGCAGCCAGGGCGGAAGGTGGCAGAGCCCTGGATGTCCCACTTCTGCCTCCATTCCCTTTCCAGAAGACTGGGGGCAAAAAAAAAAAAAAAAAGTCAAAATGACATGCCTATGAAGGAAAGTGCAACATGTTTAGAAATACTGACACAGGGAACGTTTTAGGAGTAAGAAAAGTTTCGCCAGCTTTGATTGCAAGTGGGAGAAGAAAGTCATCAAGGAGATCCCACTACCAAGGTAAACAGACTTCCCTTTTCTGGAACCCCGGCAGCACAGGAGGTCAATTTCAATGTCCCTTTCCAATGGAGTGGACTTCTGGATTAGGCATTTTGGCTGCAGATGGACCAATAACTTTAGACTACAATCCAGGTCCTAGCTCCAGCTATAAAGTCACTCCAATGCCAGCAAATGATGTATGGTACCTTGTAATCCTCTAATTGGGAAATTTCAAATTTTCCCATCCTAATTCCAGAGGTGGGAGAATTAAGTCTACGACATCACCAGGCTCAAACCAAATGGCAGTACTTGGACTACAACCAAGTAATCACTGCAAAATAGTTCCAAGCAGCAAGAAATTACATCCAGATTCTCATGGAGACTATACTGTAGGGTACAGAGCAACAGCATGAAAGCGATCAAACCTTGTAAAAATAATGTTTCTTTGCTTTTTTTTTTTTTTTAAATTAAAGAAATCCAGTGTCTCAAAAACTTGTGAAAATGTGTTTAAAAAAGGAAGGGTCAGGGAGCCTGCCATACCCTTTTGCTCATGATAACTCCCCTACTTGTACTTTCTGATACCAAAAGACAGTGCAACAGCCTCTGCTGTCATTGGCCCTATTATATTATCTCTGTCCTACAACTGTACCTCTCAGGAGGGAAGACAAATAGGGAACAAAGGGAAGGCATTTCTACTACTGACAAGTGGATGCAAACCAAAAGCAAACCGGAAAGCAAGAGCAATATTAAGGGTGAGATGAGAGACTGGAGCGGAGGCTGCTTAAGAAACCTGGCTGAGGATGCTTTGGTTTGGGGGCTGAAGAAGCCGGACATTTAAAGTGCAATCACATCGGTAATAAATGATCATCCCTTTCTTCCGACTCCTCCCCCAGCTGGTCATCCCCCACACCACGATACGCAGCAGGCACGTTTCGGGGTTTAGATCGGCACACAAAGTCACAACCATCCTGTAGGGGGAAAGGAAAGGAAGGAAACAATCATTTGAAATCAGCAGCTTTCAGGTGTTATGGTCCAAGAATGTGGCAGGAACTGGTTTTCTCCAGGGATAATGAAGAGAAAACCCCAAAGCTCCAAGGATCAGCTTAAATTGAATGTGGGGAAGAATAGACAGGTTCTAACTTGGCCTCACCCTTTCCTCACCTAGGCCCCTTAAGAGCTGTATCAGGCTCCCAAATCTCAGGAAAAGGACTGCTCTTCCAGCCAAGCCTTAACAAGGCCAGACACTAAGATGCTATGTTGCTTATCTGTACTAGGGCAACCAACTGTCTTGGTTTGCTGGGACTTTTGTGGTTTTAGCACCCAATGTCCGGTGTCTCAGGAAACCCCTCAGTCTGGGCAAACTAGGATGGCTGGTCATTCAACCTTGTCTGTAGGCCACGGACTCAGCCAGCTGCCCTGTTACTTACTGCTACCAGGTTGCCAAGATCCTGCCAGAAGGCCAAGTGGGGAAACTGCTCCACTCCTTTGGCTCCCATCACCAGTCGCTGGTACAGGAACCCCCCGATGATATAGACGGCGATCAGCGATGCAAACCTATTGAGAGAGAAAGACATCTATACTCAAAAACCAAGAAATAGTAAGACTCAGAAACTAAAGATAATCTCTATATTCATTGTTACCTATTTCCTAAGCTGTGTTCCATAAAAATGAAAGGAAAAAAAAGGGTAGTCAGTTGAATGAGCAAGGGGGTTGGTAGGTCCTTAGAAAACCAAAATGATCAGAATAAAATAAGACAGAGTTCGTGACTCTGACTTAGGGCTGAGAACAGTCACCATTAGATACACAACTCCATTTCTTTAAAAGTTCGGATAATCTAATGGCAGCTATTAAAAACTGTCCAGCCCTCCAGTAGGGAAAAAACCCTACATCCAAATGCAAATGTTTATTGGGGCCAAAACATTAAGTCATTTTTTAAAACTTGCGCAGAGTTTAAAGAGGATTTTTACAAATTACAGTATAACATATACATGCACACACACTATTTGTACCTATAGACCTCCAAGTAATTGTGGAGTTAAAAAAAAAAAAAAAGGTTTGGACTGATAAAGGAAAACGTACTCACGTGACAAGTAAGATAGAACCCACGCTGAGGTGGGAGATCTCTGGGGAACAGGCCAGGCTGCTGTCTATCTCAAAGAGGTAGAAACAGTCTTGGACTTTGCCTCGCTCCTCAAACACAGGGTTAAAATTGTCCTGATGACAAGAGGACAGAACACAACATTTATGTTGTGTCTGACACCTGTCTGAAAAAAGCACAAACCCCCAAAACCCCCAAAACATTTGCTTTCTCCTGGTCCAAAACCTCCTCTTCCATGTATGATGGAACACGGGTGCCTATGACTCAGGGAAAAGCTGAACTTCTCGTTTTATCTCCTCGGTCCCAATTATCTTGTTCCCTCTGGACAGTCTCTCCCACCTCAGGCCAGTCCTTTCATTTCCTCTAGGCTCCTAGGCCCCAGGGTGCCTCACCGCTAGGGTGTGTCGATTGCAGGAGATCATCACCACTGCCCGACGCTGCTCCTTGCCACAGTGACTGTCATATTCATCACCCCCTTTATAGATCAGCATGATCCAATTACCTGAGGAGGAACAAGGAAAACGGAGCTTTGGGGTGCGGGAAAAGCAGAGGCAGACCTGGGCACTGTGGTAGAGTGGAAGTGAGTTCAATGAAATTGGCTGTAATTAAAATAACCCTTTCAGGATGAGCTCTGTATACCAGAAACAGCAGCTAAACCTTGCTCCTTTATAACAGCTATGTGTTCCCTTATTAAGACGACTAAGAATCAGACAGTCATACAAGAATAACCTTCATTTTCCACAAAAATTAAGGCAATTGACAGTGCAAATACAATTATGATCCATACCTTAACCATGACTCATTTTCCGAATACCTGCTAACATCAAAAGGAGAGGTTCCATCCAATTACTTGGTGGCAAGGGAAAGCCTAAGATCGTAAAGTCACCACAGATAAATTCAAAGTGGATGATTTTGAAGACTGAGGGGCATTTTTCCTTCTTTAGTATTTACTGTGTTCAAATTTCTTTTGCAAAGTATCATTTGATCAATAATCACATGAGGTGAATCAGGTAAGGACTGTGCTTCCAATTTTGCATATGAGAAAACAAAATCAAAAAGGTGAAATGATTTTTCAAAGTCACAGGACAAATAAATATGAGCTGGATCAAAAATCCAGTCTTCTGACCTCTAGCCCCAAACTCTTGACGTTGTTTTTTATTATGTTATTTATAGGAGCAACAATGTGCAGTGAATAATTTATTTATCTGCTTAAGGGAGGAAAATAGACCACAGTTGCTCACATAGTCCTTTCCAGCAATATGATTTTATGATTTTTGAGAAATATTATCAACATAACTCAAGATGGTGGGGAAATTTTTGTAGACTGACTGGTTTGCAAAAAAGCTTGATCTCACTTTAAAACAAACACATAAATGTCCTGAGCCTTGGCTGTGGAGGAGCTGTGGAACTAGGTATCCTGTGGTTTGGGGGTATCTCAGATGAGCTGAACCACACATACCGTATGGTACACTGAAGAGCCTGGGAAGGGCTGAGACATACAGGATTATCAGAGGGATTCAATTAACTGATCAACAGGGAGAATCTTACTTCCATTGAAGATCTGAGTGCTGTTGAGTCTCCCTACTACTGTCTCCTTCCCATTACTTTTGTTGATCTGCACCAGGCCTGCCCCAGAGGTGTGGTTGCCAGCTTCTCGGCACACCCGGAACATGTAGATATACATGTCTGGGCCCTGGCCCACGGTGCTCTCAAAGCTGTGAGGAGAAGTGAGGAGAAGGAAGAGGACAGTTACAGCTGTCAGCCTTAGGAAGAGCAGTTTCCTTTTTCACAACAACAACAATGGTGCACTCAACTTATTTATCTGATGTCACGGCTAAACGTCCTAGTGAATAATATCTGTTGCATCATGAGATATCCATGACCCAGACAGAACACCCTACCTGTTGATGACGACTGATTAAAATACAGCATCCAAGACAGCTAGTATTCTAGATATTTCTAGAATAATTGCTCTAGACTATGCTAAAACATTACTACTTCCCCTTGAGTAAGGGTCTGTGTTCATGAGATACACCCTCCTTCCTTAAAGATTATCTTCAGATTTATATACCAGAAGATTCCTGACACTTATGATGACGCAGCAGGCCTAAATATGTTATTCTGATACTTGTAAATATCGAGGCATCAAATAATGCTTTTTAGTTCCTATGAGCTGGTTTCTTGGATCCAGTCTTGGAAACTGCTACTCTTCTGCATAAGGTACCTGCACATGGCTGCTGAACACTGGGCTGAGCATGTGCTCTATATCATGAAGGAAAGCAAGATAGCACGGCCAAATAAGACTAATATTGCTAAAGTTCACATTAGAACTGTCTCTCAGAGGAGGTTATGATACATGTATCCCCCCTATGTTTGGGGGGGGGGAAATAAAATCAGTACTAAATACTACTAAATAAAATACTAAAATAAAATCAGTAAGAGGAGGAAGAGATTCTTTAATAAAGTTAGCTCTTCAAGCCCTTTAAGATTCTTCTCATTTACCTTTTGTTAAACAGCGGCGTCAGCCTCTTCAGTAGAGCCAACTCTTTCTCTGACTCTTTATCCTTTTCTCCTACCAGGTCGCATGTTTTTTCTTCGGTCTGCCAGGATTCTCTTACTGCCACGGCCAGCAGCAGCAGCAGGCCAGTCATCCAGGAGCTGTAGAGGGGGAACATCCTTTTGGGAGAGGAAGTGCGTGTGTTAGGGAAAGAGGGAGAGGATCGGGAGAGAAGGGAAAGAAAGCAAGCATATGAATGTGTCATAAATGAATGGTATTTTTTTAACCTTTTAATCTTCCACCCACCACCTATTATTTTACACTAGCCAGTTTTCTTCATTATTATGATGTTGGGCTTTATTTTCTTGTCTCCATTTCAAGTTCTGTTTTCTCCATTATTTAATATTCAGAATTGGAACCTTAAATCTCCAGGTTTCTCTTTTTCTTTTTAAAACTTATTTCAAAAGCTTCTTCCTAGCTGACTCCCTTGCTTGACACCACTGGTCACCTCCTTCTCGTGCCCCTTTCATGTACATTCAACAAAGAGGACAGCATTGGCCTTGGTGAAGAGTTAGTGTCTATAGATTGTTGTTGAGATTTCTGCAAGGTGCGCACAAAAAAAGAATATCTAGACTTCTAAGCTGTATTGGGAGAAAAACACATTTTTGGTCCTAGAAACTGTCAGAAGAACCAATCAATGGCCTAGAGAATACTTAAGTGTGACCAATGAACAGTATTTTGTTTTTTTTTTTTTTGTTTTTGCGGTACGTGGGCCTCTCACTGCTGTGGCCTCTCCCGCTGCGGAGCGCAGGCTCAGCGGCCATGGCTCACGGGCCCAGCCGCTCCGCGGCATGTGGGATCCTCCCGGACCGGGGCACGAACCCGTGTCCCCTGCATCGGCTGGCGGACTCTCAACCACTGCGCCACCAGGGAAGCCCTGAACAGTATTTTGATTATGCAGAAACTATAAGATTCTTTGGCATATGCAACAAATATTACCTTTTAATATCTCTGTGCCAAGAGCACCTGTGTTAGGAAACCCATATACAGATATACATATATATATATACACACACATGCACATATGTATCTATCACCTGTGTCGGGAAACTCTCTCTATATATCAATCACTTTCAGTCTAATTCATAGGTAAGTCCTTCAGAACAAACTATGGGGCTGAGAAGAGGGAAAGGAAAGAACAAAAAGAATTAAATTATGACAGCCTGGTGGAGACATCCTTGCCTCTTTACCATTTGGCAAGAAATTAGATTAAGATGTCTCATTATTTAGAGTTCAATACTGGTTCATAAATACTGCTTAAACCAGTGGCCTCCATAAGATAATTCTCGAATTACAATTGACACTTGATAAGGGCTAGTTGGAAGTTATTAAGAAAGATGTAAAATAGAGAAAAAGACTTGAATACTTTGGGACCTAAGTCCTCATTTTAATATTCAGGAGCATCTAACAGTCTTTGTTCATATTCACCATAAGAATGATAAACAGAGAGAAACACTGCCACAGCACCTAAAACTCGACATCCACCTGGTTCTGATGTCTCACCTCTGAAAAATCATTCAATCATTTAAATGATAGGAAGAACAAAATTCACTAGGTCCAAATGAGTGGTTTGAATAAGTATTCCAAAACCCACCTCAGGCTCTACAGTCATGAACCTCAGGAGTTTCTAGCTTCCAATTGCTGATAACTCTAGGAATTCATCACGTCACTTTACAATTTAGCAAATCCAATTCATCTGATGCTTGTACTGCTTTAGGAATGGCAGCGTGCGGCTGTTTCCCAAACTCATTTTCTTTTCTCTAATTCCATCTTTATACCCAGGATACACTGATTTACCCTTTCAAAAGAAATCACTTTGGTATCCATTAATGATCCCTTAGGCCATCACTACTTGTTAATTTTATAACAGTATCACCAATTTTTCTGATACAAAGATTCAATTCTTCCAAATTTTTCTCACTTATGATAAAATGCTTCCATACTACAAGTCTGGACTTTGGTTTGAATACTCTTTTAAAGTCCTCTAATTCTTTGTCATGCTGGTCCACTGACTCCACTGCATTTTTAGCATATAAAACTTAAAACAGGCAGAATTTAATGGGTACTAATAGGTACCTGAATAAATTTTCTCCACTCTCCCAAACAAACTTACATTTTTTTTTTGGATGTCTGATCTCATTTATTTGTTACTCTTAGAACATCTCATTTTTGACTGGACTCAGACTTAGAGGTAGAAGCTCTCAGAGGACAGCCTCCATCTCTTGGCAATCTGTTCCTGTTGTTTTTCTTTGGCCTCCTTCATTCTCTTGGCCAAGAGTTTAGCATATCCTGCAGCCTCTTCCTTATTTTCTTAGTATGCTGTTTCTTCAGAGCAATATGCTGACGTTTGTGTTGCAGAACACGTGGAGTAACAAGACGCTGAGTCTTGTGTGCTTTGGTCCTAGGTTTCCTACCCTCTTTGTTTAGGGGTTTTCTCTCACAATATACTGGCGGACATAGAGAGAGACTGAAAAGTTTGTGGATTCTGCTAGCTCTTTTGGGCCCCAGCTGACGAGGCGAAGTTGTGAGTCCAGGAATATGCTTCTCCCCTTTTTCCACTATGACCAAATTGAGAACACTCAGATTGGCATCCACAATGCAACCCCGTACAGATCTGTGCTTTCTTTCTCCAGTCCTCCTTGGTCTGTAACAGGAATGCCCCTTATTCAGTAGCGGGTAGACTCTACCATGGGTCCAAACACCTGCTTCATGGGGAAAACCCTGTTTGTTGTTCCCACCGATTCAGACCACATAACCCTTCCATTCTTCACCCAGAGCATTAGCAGCAACTTCTGTGGCCATATGCTTCTTACAAAAGGTATGAAGTTTTTGTTCATCGTCCACTTCAATGAGTTTCTGGCAGCCATTGGCTGGGAAAGAGATGTTCAACTTCATCCTGAAGTGGCCAACTGCCTCTGAGGCACCATGATAAAAAGCTAAATGAACTTACATTTGACATTCTTTTTTTAAAATTTATTTTATTTATTTATTTTTGGCTGTGTTGGGTCTTCATTACTGAGCGCGGGCTTTCTCTAGTTGTGGTGAGCGGGGGCTACTCTTTGTTGCAGTGCGCGGGCTTCTCATTGTGGTGGCTTCTCTTGTTGTGGAGCACGGGCTCTAGGCGCGTGGACTTCAGTAGTTGTGGTGCACGGGCTTAGTTGCTCTGCGGCATGTGGGATCTTCCCGGACCAGGGATCAAACACGTGTCCCCTGCATTGGCAGGTGGACTCTTAACCACTGCGCCACCTGGGAAGTCCCACATTTGACATTCCGTTTCCCACATTCCACTAGGGCAACCAATACTTGGGAAGTCATCTCCCCGACTTGGTGTACTCCAAACATCAATTCATTGTAGTAATATTAATAAGGTGTTTCCATAGAATAAGTATAGCCAGCCACAAAGTCTGAGGCTCCCATAAACACATACAAAGCATCAACAGGAAACACTTAATAGAGTGCTTGCCTTTTGCTAGGCATTTAACATACATTAACCAGTTAAGCCTTACAAAAACCCTATGCAGTAAATACGACTGTCCTTATTTTACAGAGGAGAAAACTAGACAGAGCTAGTGGCGTGAACCAGATAGTGCAGCTCTGAGCTCATGGTCTACACTTAACCATTCCTTTCACATTAAGTTTTCTGGAGATCAGAGTAGGCAGTCAAAGTTTTGCTTTCATTTTGACAAAGCAAGAAGGGGAAGTGACTCCTCACATGGTTCACTAAACAGGAGGCAGAATAAAGAACCCAGACCTCAAACTCCTACCTTCTCTAAATTCACTCACTGATCCACACAACTTGACCAGCTGACTAAAATAAGAGGCCCCTTTTAGTAGATTGATTAAGCATGACATTTCCTTTATATTCTTGCAGGACCCAATTTGAAATTTCAACTTTCTGTGCTTTCAATATTCTTTTATCCAGGACCATTTTCTGGAGGGATGCTCACACACAAGACTGTGTTCTTTGGCTTCAAAGTTAGTTCCTTATCTGTTAACAGTTGATGATTTCTTTTCCCAAATTAGAACAAAGACTCTCACAAAACTGCAAAAGGATGAAGGGCTGAACACCCTGCAGCCAGCATTAGTTGAGTCAAACTAGCTTTCATTTAATTATTGGTTCAAAAAGATAGGAGATAAAAAGAGATATATTCTTCTCTTTCCTGCTTAAGAGTTGGCTACGTTTGAGCTGCTTCTCTTTGATTCAGTGGCATATGCTCTAAGTGCTTTATCTAGATTATGTTCATCAATCTTCACAACCCAGAAAAGTAGATATAATTTCTCCCATTTTACAGATGAGGAAACTGATTCCTACAGAGCTTAAGTTACTTGCCTTAGGTTATACAAGTATTAAACGTGTATGAAGTTATTAGTAAGGCAACTTGAATGAGTCATGGTATAAAGCTATTTTCTGATAAATAAAGGAGTGCAAAAATGTATTCGTAAGAGTATGAAATCCAAGGGCTGGGTAGTCCCCTTTTACATCTAATTGTGCTACAATTAGATTCTCAAGATGCAAGAGTTTGTCCTAGATACTTTGGAAACAAGCGGCAGGACTTAAAGATTTTGAAAAATCCCTTTCAATTTTCTTGTTCTACAACGATAGATCCATACAGTTAAGGCTAAAAAATTCTCCTCCAATGGGATGACCAATGACTAAGTCAGGAATTGGGAAACACTTTACATCACTAGGCCTCTGTACCACTCACTTCCCCCAGACTAGCCATGACCATTTTCTGTTTTTCGGTGGAATTTCTACTTTCTTCTCTCTGGCTCATTTCTGATGGCGACGGCCCTTATCTCCTGTCTCCAGCAGCCCACACTTTCAGAAGAGCAGCCCTAACTAGCTGAACCGCCCAAGGTTGAAAAGACTTAAGAAAGCAGCTCTAGCCCAAGGGCGGAAGCTCTCTCCAAAAAGGAACGCAAATCCCTCTATTGGCGACTCTTCGTACCATACGCTCATCTCCCTCAAACTTCTTCCAGGCTTCCAGACATTCGCGTCCCGTCTAGTCTCCCGACTTTGCAAATGCTTAGGGCCATACCCTGTACAAATGATGCCACCTGACCCCCCTCTACGATGCGGGCCAAAATCCCGTCTACGGGTATCCAGTAACACCTCGAACAGACTCCAGACTTAGCGACCTTCCTTTCCCTGCCTTCCAAACTCTGGTCTTGGAGATCCTTTCTCCCTCACTCCCTTGGCGACTCTGTAACTCCCCAACCTTACGCCTCCGCCTTTCTACCCTCGGGCTCCTTAGCTGGATTTTTGGGCTAGAACCCGGGCCAAGGGAGACCCAGCAATCCCGGCCCCCGTCACAGCCACGAGGGGTGAGCGCTCTCCAGCCCACTCCTCCACGCCCCTCATACTCACGTGTCACAGGCAAAGGGAGCAGCCACAGCTCAGAATCCCCGGCCGAGTACCTGCTCGCGGCTGGGAGACAGCACCAGCGAGGGGCCGGCCGCAGACCCCGGTTCCAGAGCTCGCAGCAGAGCCAGCGACCCCACGAGCGCCTCGCTGGGCTCCACTCCGGGAAGCGGAAACAGGAAGTGCCGGGCGGCCGCTGGGCAACTGCTCCTCCCACTAGACCCCGCGGCATGTCACGGTAGAACCGTTTCGCTGCTTTCCCCTTCCCGGCCTCTCAGATCATCCCGGACGCTGATTGGCCAGGACCGTGGGCCTTAGGCTCCGCCCCCGCGGCATCAACTCCAATCCCTATCGAGATTTGCAAGTTTAGTTCCACCTTTGCGGGTCGCCTTTCTCCTGACTGGGGTCCCAGACTCCCACCACCTGGCCTCTCGGCTCGGGCCCCTGTCACGCGGGGTCACGCGGGGGTCACGCGCGGTCAGGCGCCAGGCTCGCTCCCTGGTAGGTCGGACTGGAGGGCGGCGGAAGTGGAAATGCGGGGCGGGGCCAGATCCCCAGGCCGCGGCGGGAGCTGTAGTTCTCGTGCTGGTTGCTACTTCGGATCTCTGCCGTCTGAGGGGGACGCCGGTTCGCTGTGTGCTGGCCCCGAGTCGCGTTGTCCCTGGAGGATAGTGGAGAGCGACTGGGTCGTGGTCCTCCTGGCTTTCTTACCGTCACTTTTGTTCTTTACGTCCTGTCTCCGGTTTAGCACCGTGAGGTGCGGCAGGGGTTACTATTACAGTTAGCCTTATCATCCCTCCGGCATTTTGTGTGATAAACACTCTGCAGCCACTTCTGCTGACCGAGACAAGTCAATTTTTGGTCTTTGCGCCTTTGCTAAGATCCTTTGCGGTGTCTCTCACGTGTGGCGTCTTAGCCGTGTGTGGAAGTCCTACCCGTTCATAGAACTCGGTTCAGAAGCTCCTGTGACTCCTGGACTCAACCTTTTCAGCTGGAACCGTTCCGTCCTCCCAGTGCCCGCTGGCTGCTCGCACCTGGCTTTAGTCTGGTTTGTTTCTGCTTTGATTCCTCGTTGCATTTGCGTGTGCCTCCCAACGTCTCCTCGGATGGCGACTGGATTTTGATTCCTCTTTGTGTTCACCAGAGCTAGAACAGCGTTTTGAATCGAATAATAATAGAAGCTGACACTGTGAGAAACCCGGCACTGTTGTACGTGTTTTAAACGAGTATCAGTTCACTTCACCTTCACAACCAGCTTACTGAGGAAGTATCTTATCCCCATTTTACAGATGAGTAAATTAAAGGCGACAGAGGCTAAGTGACTTTTTTTTTTTTTTTTAACTTACCCTGGGCCCCACAGCTACTAAGTTATGGAGTCAGTATTCTGGCTCCATCATTTAGGGATAAGTTAGTTATATAGGTTGTGTATACAGTCCAGAGTTCATGCTGTCGACACTGCGTTATACTGACTATAAGAAACTGTATTTGTTTATTAACTGGTACATTCAATTCAGGCTAGGTGGTATATCTGGGTTGGGTTTGGATGTGTCTTAAGTAAAAAATACGAAAATTGAAAGATGAGTTGCTTTCTAATAATAAAAGTAATTTGTCTATTGACACATACACACTACTATATATAGATTAGATAACTAATAAGAATCTGCTGAATGGCACGGGGAACTCTATTCAATACTCTGTAATGACCTATATGGGAAAAGAATCTAAAAAAAGAGCGGATATACGTGTGTCTATAACTGACTCAGTTTGCTGTACAGCAGAAGCTAACACATTGTAAATCAACTATACTCCAATAAAAATATTAAGAAAGCGCTTCTAGGAGGTTCCTAAAATCAAATGTTGAGGCTGCCTCCTCTTCAGTATGTGCAGAAAAGGGAAGGGTGCGTGAAAGCGCTAGGTATTCTGATGCTTGCTTCAACTCATGGCTTTGAAAATTGTCCCAGGCCTGCTCTTTTGTCGGCTCTCAGGTGGGAGCTCTGTTGGGAATACCTTTTTTAACCTCTCAAGAGCTTTGTCCTGTGTGAGTTTTTTTTTTACAGGTTTTGCTGTGGTTTCACTGTCAAATACACTCTACCTGCTCACGTTTTCTGATCTGCTTAGCAATCTTTTGATATTTGTTTGGTAGTTTCTCAGACCCATTATGCATGTATTCTATTTGCCATCTTGAACCAGATTTCAATTTTGAACTTTTATTGATGCCCTCCTTTAAAAAATGATCATATTTCACATATTTCAAAGGCTAAATATATTTTTGTTTTTGGTAATTTTCAATTTTAATATATCAGTAAATTAAACATTTTAGAAAAATGCAAGAAGAGTACAAAGAACTCTTGCATACACTCTACCTAGATTTGCCAAGTATTTACATGTTGCCCCATTTGCTTTATTGGTCTCACACACACACACACACACACACACACACACACACACACACACACACTTTTATTCTGAACAATCTGAGGGTAAGTTCCCCATTACCACTAAGTACATCATTGTGTATTTCCTAATAATAAAGACATTCTTACATTACCACAGTATAATTATCAAAATTAGGAACTATAGCACTTTTTTACCCTTTCCCAACCACAGAAGCAAAGCCAGAGTCACACACTGCAATTAGTTGTCATTTTTCTTTATCTTATTTGACCTTGAAATTTGGAAAAGTACAGGTCACTTATTTTGTAGAATGTCTCTCATTTTGGTTTGGTCTGATGTTGCCTCCTGATTTAGGTATGCATTTCTTGATAGGACTAAGAGGGAAATAATGATCCTGTATCACTCAGCATCCAATCAGAAGACAGATACCACATGAGTCATTTTAAGGAAAAATTTAGTATAAAGAGTCATTTTTTAGTAAAAAATAATTACTAAAAGGGGTAAGAGAGGACTGTAAGTTACACACAAATCTTACAGAAGTAGGAACTACAAAATGCAGCTACTACTTTGAGGGCTGAAGATGGGTTAACAAGGAAGCAACTTAGAAACTTAAACGAAGTGCTACTTTTCCACCCACAGGGGAGAGGTTCAGACCTCTGAAGAAAGGATGTGGTTCCTGCCACAGGAACATGCAGCCCACTGATGAGGTGAGAGGAAAATTGCTGGTGGCTGTGGGTCACTGGGCCACTGTTGAACTGTCAGTGGGAGCCTCTTTATGGTGGCTTCTTTGTCCTTTGGACTTGTCCCCATCATTTTTTGAGCAGTCCTTTACTTTTGGGCACATAGATGTTCCACGTGGATCTTGAACTTTTCTTACCCTAGAATCAATCATATCTCGAAGGCGGCCTGGTTCCTCTTAGTGGAGAAGGGTATTGAGAAACCAAGATCTGATTACAGTGTGTGTTTATTGCTACTTGTGTGTCCTTGCTTTGGTCCTTCTCAGCAGACAGTTAGGAAATCTATATATCTTTCCAAGAGTGGGAAATTAGCTCCCATTATATTCAGCATATTTATATGTTTGTTCACACGTGAGAAAACACAGGAGGTAACTTTATAACTGGTAAACCAAGCCTACTAATTAGAGTTCAATGTTTGTTTAAAGTTTTTTTTTTTGTTATTGAGGTAAAATGTATAAATCATGAAATTCACAACGCTTTTTAAAAATTATTTATTTATTTATGACTGTGTTGGGTCTTCGTTGCTGCACGCAGGCCTTCTCTAGTTGTGGCGAATGGGGGCTACTCTTCCCTGCGGTGCGCGAGTTTCTTATTGCCGTGGCTTCTCTTGTTGTGGAGCACGGGCTCCAGGCACACAGGCCTCAGTAGTTGTGGCACATGGGCTCAGTATTTGTGGCTCGTGGGCTCTAGAGTACAGGCTCAGTAGTTGTGGTGCACAGGCTTCGTTGCCCTGTGGCATGTGGGATCTTCCTGGACCAGGGCTCGAACCCGTGTCCCCTGCATTGGCAGGCAGATTCTTGACCACTGCACCACCAGGGAAGTCCCACAACTTTTAAGTATAGAATTCAGTGAATCTTGACAAATGCATCATAACTGTAACCCCCCTCTAATCAAGACTTAGCAGATTTTCATCACCCAAGAAAATTTCCTCATGCCCTTTTCCAGTCATTCTCCTAGGCCTAGAGGCAACTATTGCTCTGAAATTTTTACCATAGATTAATTTTGTATTTTCCAGAATTTCATATAAAATTGAATCATTAGAAAAAAATGAATCATATACTATGTTTGGTTTCTTTCACTCAATAAAATGTCTGTGAGGTTCTGTTGTTACATATATCAGTAGCAGGGTTTTTCTCTTTTTTTGGCTAGATAGTACTATATTGTATGAATATTTCACAACTTGTTGATCTATTCTCTTGATGGGTATTTAGGTTGTATCTATGTTTTCTTCCAAGAAGCTTTATAGTTTTAGCTTTTATGTTTGTATCTGTAATCAGTTTTTTAAAGTTTTTAAAAAATATTTATTATGTTTATTTATTTGGTTGCGCTGGGTCTTAGTCGTAGCAGCTGGGCTCCTTAGTTGTGGCTCGCGGGCTCCTTAGTTGTGGCATGCGAACTGTTAGTTGCAGCATGAATGTGGGATCTAGTTCCCTGACCAGGGATCAAACCTGGGCCCCCTGCATTGGGAGCACAGAGTCTTAACCTCTGCGCCACCAGGGAAGTCCCTGTGATCAATTTTGAATTAATTTTTTTGTATTGTTGAGGTAGGGTCGAGGTCAGTTTTTTTCCCACATGGATGTATAGGTCTTCCAGTAATGTTTATTCACTTTTCTTTCTCCCTTAAGTTGCTTTGGAACTTCGTTGAAAATCAGTTGACTATATACATGTGATTCTGTTTCTGGACTTAATTTGTTCCATTGATCTCTTTGTTCATTATTATGCCAACAACACACTGTCTTGATTCTTCTAGCTTTATAAGTCTTGAAGTAAGTTAGTGTAAATCTTCCTGTTTTTTCAAGATTGTTTTGGCATTTCCATAAATATGTTTAGAATCAACCTGTCAATTTCTGTTTAAAAAATCTTGCTGGAATTATAATTGGGATTAATGTGAATCTAAAGGTAAATTTGAGGAAAATTGACATTTTAACAATGTTGAATTTTACAGTCCATGGATAGGATACACTCTCTATTTATTTAGGTCTTATCTAATTTCTTTCAGCTATGTTTTATTGTTTTCAGTGTAGAGGTCTTACATGTCATTTGTTACATTTATTCCCAAGTACTCACATTTTGATGCTTTTATAACTGAAAATATTGTGAAAGTTTTTTTTTACGAATGTTTGCTAGTAGTGTATAAAAATACAGTTGAGTTTTGTATTTTGACCTATATCCTGTAACCTTGCTAAATTTACTTATTTTGGCAGTTGCTTCTTTCTTTTGAACTTCTGGCCATCATGGTGTAACTGGGACTGGATTTATTTTCTCATCTGAAACAACTGGAAAACGAAAATATATGAAACAGCGGTTTTCAGATACTGGACAACAGGCAGTACAGGACAGTGATTCCTGAGAGAAGGAAAATAAGGTGAGCCCCTGCTTATCCCTGCTTACAGTTGCCTCTGCTTACTAATTCTTGTCAAAAAGCAAGCCTCAAAAGGATCAAACTGGTACCAAGTAACTGTGTCCAATAACAAAAGCCAACAATTTTGAAAAGAGCTCAAGACAATTTGGCACCAACAGCATAAAATTCACAGTGTCTGGAATCCAGCAAAAGATTATCAGGCATGCAAAGGAGGCAAATATAACCCATAACCAGGAGAAAAATCAGTCATTAGAAACTGAACCAGAAATGACAAAGATGAAAGAATTTGCAGAAAGGATGTTAGAATAGCTATTATAAATACACTTCATATGTTCAGTAGATAAGACGAACATTGAACATTATAAAGAGAAAAAGGCAAGATATTTTAAAAACAAACCAAATTATGCTTCCACAGATGAGAAATACAATATCTGAAATGATGCAATGAAAATATACTGAATGGAATCAACAGTAGACTAGAAACTACAGAAGGAAAGGTTAAATATTTTTAAAAAATTATTTATTTATTTTTGCTGCATCGGGTCTTAGTTGCGGCATGCAGGATCTTCTCTGGGTCTTACGGAATCTTTTGTTGCGGCACACGGGCTTCTCTTTAGTTGTGGCGAGTGGGCTCCAGAGTGCGTGGACTCTGTAGTTGCAGCGTGCGGGCTCTCAAGTTTTGGCACATGGGCTTAGTTGCCCCGTGACATGTGGGGTCTTAGTTCCCCGATGAGGGATTGAACCCGTGTCCCCTGCATTGAAAGGCAGATTCTTAACCACTGGACCACCAGGGAAGTCCCAGGAAAGTTAATTAACTTGAAGACATATCATTAGAAAATATCCAAAATAAACACATGAGGAAAAAAGACCCTCCCCCTCCAAAAAAACCCCCCAAAACCCAGAACTTCAGTTACTTATGGTACAATATCAAGCAATCAAATATATTTAAAATTAAAGCTTCAGAAAGAGGACAGAAAATATATTGGCCAAAATTTTTCAGAATTTGCTGAAAACTATAAATTTACAAATCAGAGATATTCAATGAATATCAAGCAGAAGAAACATGAAGACACATTATTATCAAGCTGTTGAAAAGCAGTGATAAATAGAACATACTAAAAGCAGCCAGAGGGGAAAAAACACAGTGGCATAGTTCACATCAGAAACTATGCAAGTCAGACAAAATTAGACACCTGTAAGTACTTTTGTGGGGGAGGAGAACCCTGTCAACATACAAAAATACCTTTAAAAAAATGAAGGCAGGGGCTTCGCTGATGGCACAGTGGTTAAGAATCTGCCTGCCAATGCAGGGGACACAGGTTCAAGCCTTGGTCCGGGAAGATCCCACATGCCGCGGAGCAACTAGGCCTGTGCTCCACAACTACTGAGCCTGTGCTCTAGAGCCCGTGAGCCACAACTACTGAGCCCGTGTGCCACAACTACTGAAGCCTGCGTGCCTAGAGCCAATGCTCTGTAACAAGAGAAGCCACCATAGTGAGAAGCCCATGCACTGCAATGAAGAGTAGCCCCTGCTCACTGCAACTAGAGAAAGCCCACGTGCAGCAATGAAGACCCAATGCAGCCAAAAATAAAAATAAATAAATTAAAAATAAAAATGCAGGCAAATTAAAATTTTTTTCAGATGAACGAAAGATGAGGAATTCATTGCAAACAGACCACTAAAATACATATTAAAGGAAGTTCTTCTTCCAGAAGGAAAATTATACCACATGGGAATTTAGAATTATGTAAGGAAATGAAGAAGTTTAGCAATGATAAATATGAGTATAACTATAAAACACTTTTGTTCTAATTTTAAAAGATACCTTTAAAAGATTAATGCCTGATTAAAAGAAAAATATTAACAATCTATTGTGGAATTTATAACATAGGTAGAAGTAAAATGTTTGACAATGGCCAGGGAGAGGGAGAGAAAATATACTATTGTAAGGTGCATTTGATATACATGAAGTGGTATAATATTATTTGGAGGAAGAATGTGCTTAAAGATATAATGGAGACTCTAGAGCATCCTAAAAAAGAAAAAGAAAAAAAAGAAAAGGGAGTTCCCTGGTGACCTAGTGGTTAGGATTCTGGGCTTTCACTGCCATGGCCCAAGTTCAGTCCCTGGTCAGGGAACTGAGATCCCGCAAGCCACGTGGAGCAGCCAAAAAAATTAAAAAAGGAAAGAAGGAATGAAGGAAGAAGGAAAAGAGGAAACAAGGAAAGAGAAAGGTATAACTGATATACCAATAAGGGAGATAAAATGGAATCATAAAAGACATTCAATTTTATAAAAAAGATCAGGAAAATAGGGAAAAAATGAACAAAGAATAAATCAAACACATAAATAGCAAGATAGTAGATATAAGGCTACCTATAATGATAATCACATGATCTAAAATGGCCTAAATACTCCAATTAAAAGGCAGAGATTATCAGATTAGATAAAAGAAAAAAGTAAGACCGAAGTATATGCTCTCTGGGAAAATAAACAAACAAAAAATAAAAGAATGGAAATAATTATACCATGCAAACACTAATCCAAAAAAAGCTAGAATGCCTATATTAATTAGACAAAGTAGATTTTTAGAGTAAGGAATATTACCATGGATAAAGAGGGACATTTCATAAGGATAAAAGAATTAGATCATCAAGAGGACACGTGTTTGTAGCTAATAACAGCTTTAAAATACGTGAAGCAAAATCTGAGAGAATTTGAGAGAAAAAGACAAATTGACAATTATAGTTGGAGATTTCAATATCCTCTTCTCATAATTAACATAGTCAGAAAATCTGCAGTGATATAGAGGACTTGAACAACACCATCAACTAACCTGACTAATTGACATTAATTCACTTGCCACCTCTTTTGTGAATAAAGTTTTACTGGAACACAGACACACATACTTGTTTATATTTATCTGTGTCTGCTTTTGTACTATAATGGCTGAGTTGAGTAGTTGTGAGAAGACCATATTGCCAGGAAAGCCTGAGATATTTACTGTGTGGCCTTTTACAGAAAGTGTTTGCTCACCCCTGACTTAGATGAAAAGAACAGATTTATTGAAAGACACAAACTACTGAGGTTAACTCAAGAAAAAATACATAACTTGAATATCTCACTATCCATTAAAGAAATTGAATTTATAGTTAAAAGCTTCCCATAAAGAAAACTTTAGGCCCAGATGGCTTCACTGGTAAATTCTACTATCTTTTGATCTTTTATTTATTATTCTTGTCTAGTTCTTTCTCTACAGTGTTGAATAGAAATGGTAAAAATAGACATTCTTGCTTTGTTCTTGGAATAAACCACACTTTGTCATGATGAATTACCTCTTTTATGTTCTTCTGGATTTGATTTGCTGATAGTTTTTTTTTTTTTTTTTAAAGATTTTGATGTCTATATTTATGAGGGTTGGGGTCTGTAATTTACATACTTGTAATTTTTTCTCAGGGTCATCATGGCCTCCTAAAATAAGTTGGAGGGTGTACTTTCATTTTCTGTTTTCTGAAGGGATTGTGTTATTTATTCCTTAAAGTTTGATGTAATATGCTGTTTGAAGTCATCTGAACATGAAGCTTTCTTTTTCTTTCTTTTTGTTTTAATTGAAGTATAGTTGATTTACAATGTTGTGCCAGTCTCTGCTGTACAGCAAAGTGACTACAAAACAGAAGCTTTCTTTTTTTAAAATTAAATTTTTATATTATTTTTTAATTAATTTTTTTTATTGGAGTAGAGTTGATTTACACTGTTTTTGTTGTACAGCAGAGTGGGTCAGTTATACATATATCCACTCTTTTTTTTAGATTCTGTTCCCATATAGGTCATTACAGAGTATTGAATAGAGTTCCCTGTGCTATACAGTAGGTTCTTTTTAGTTATCTATTTTATATATAGTAGTGTGTATATGTCAATCTCAATATCCCAATTTATACCCCCCCTTCCCCCTTGGTAAACAGAAGCTTTTTTTTTTTTTTTTTTTTTTTTGCGGTATGCGGGCCTCTCTCTGCTGTGGCCTCTCCCATTGCGGAGCACAGGCTCCAGACGCGCAGGCCCATGGCCCATGGTCCCAGCCGCTCCGCGGCATGTGGGATCTTCCTGGACCGGGGCATGAACCCGTGTCCCCAGCATCGGCAGGCGGGCTCTCAACCACTGCGCCACCAGGGAAGCCCCAGAAGCTTTCTTAATGGGAAGGTGTGTACTAACAAATTCAATTTTTTGAATGAAAAGAGAGTTATTCAAAAATTTCTTCTTGTGTCAGTTTGGTAAATTGTGTTTTCCAAGGAATTTTTCCATTTTATCTACATTGTTAAATTTATTGGTATATAGACATAATATTCCTTTATTATCCTTTTAATGTCTTTAAAATCTATAGAGTTATACTCTCTTTAGTCTTGATATTCATAATTTGAGCCCTCTCTGTTTCTTGATCAGTCTTGTTAAAAGTTTATCAATCAGTAATCTTATCAAAGAACCAAATTTTGGCTTTGTTAATTTTTCTATTGCTTGGTTTTTAAAAATTTTATTGATTTCAGATTTTAAAATTCTGATCTGCTTACTTTGGTTTTAATTTGCTCTTCTTTTTCTATCTTCTTAAACTTGATTGTTTATTTAAAATCTTTCTACTTTTGTATTCATTTAAAGCTATAACATTCCCTCCAAGCCTCTGTTTTAGCTGTGTTCTACAAATTTTTCTGTTGTGTTTTTATAATAATTTAGTTTGATATATTTTCTAATTTTTACCCATGTATTATTTAGAAATGTGTGTATTTTTTTTAGATGTACAAAAAGTCATCTTAATTCTTCTAAGAGAACTTAATTTTCTTTGGTTTTTTCCCCCTTTTAAATTATTTTTATTATTATATCAATGGAAAAGTCTCAGGTTAAAAATAGTGGATTTTTAACACTTCTCTCTAACATTTTAATTTTTTATATTTATTTTTTGAGATATAATTGACATATACCAATTGTATTAGGTTTGGGTGCACAGTATATAATT